TTAAGATACGGAACGCCGCCTAAGTTGTATTACAGTCTATTTTTTCTCAAGATAGATTTAGACATTGTCAACTTTGAAAAATAAACAATGCCGCTTATTGGTCGCAAGATGCTATTTGCACGGCATGCATTGTAAAACTGATGTCAACCTGCAGGGACACCTCATTTCGCGACCAATCAGGGCCAAGCGTTATTGTTTATGTTTCAAAGTTTTCAATGTCAAAATCTATCTTGGGAAAAAATAGACCATAGTTGTATTCCTTTCACACCAGACGCGGGATTCTGTAACGGATAGGGATCGTTATCTCTATCGCTATGGCACTTGCTGTCTTTTTCTTTCTTTTCGAAATCAATAAAGAGGGAACGTCAATAGAGATAGCGAAAACGTCTCTATTCGTTATAGAATCCCAGCCCAGGTAGTCGATTCTCGAATTTGGTAGAAGTGAACGTTCCCCTAGAGGAGAAGTGAGAGATCACATCGCACGCTCGTTCTCTTGATGCCAAAGTTGTGATTCTCGAACGTATGGGATTATGATAGAATGAGAGAAAACTTGTCAAATAATAATGCGTTGTTGCCAACAGTAATATGTAGAATTAGCCACAATTTTGGTGCGTTAAAAGGACGAATGTCATGAGAAAGAAGAAAACCGGTATCCCTGCGTTTTTATTCTCATCAAATTTTCCACCATTCTATGTCGGTCATTATCATTTTCCATTCACTAAACAAAGATAGCTAACTCATCGGTAAAGTCCGATTAGAATAAAAACGAGGGGTTTGTTTTATTTGTGTTTTGGGACGTAATCTCATTCTTTGCTTATTTATTTACTGAAAATCAAATCATTAATCATTTTATTTACAATTTTTATTTTCGTGCTGTTTTGTTTATGTGGAAAATGAATTTGGAAAAATCAAGATGTTCACCTATAAATCATACTCAAAAATAAATGCTCATTGAATTTGTAAGGCAAAATGAGAAACTTCAAAGTGGAAAATTTACCTCCGATTTTACCACAGTTTTTAATGATGAAGTTCTAGTTGGAGTCCGTATAAAAGGTGTCAATAAATCAATTAAATTTCGAGCAAGATCTTTGCTTAATCTAAATAGTTTTATAAATTTATTATCCGTTAAATCAAAGGGATTTTCTCTTCTGTGAAATCTCCTTAAAGGCCTTTCTTCTTGCTCTTCTGCATCTAGTAGATCATTCAGTACAAGAATTCTTCCTATAACCGCAGCTTCCATGGTTTCCCACGTTTTCGTATTAGACCGTATTTTCCACTTCAACACAATATGCAAATGTACCAATTGGCAATTACTGCTAATAAATGATTTGCAAAACAAACAAAAAAATAGACACTTTTTGCACCCCTTAAAATAACAGCAGTTTTTGGATCAAGTATGGTTAACTTTATCGGCGATAACGATTACCACGACCTTCAAAATCAGAGATTTTGCATCGCCAAACGTTCACATATTTCCGTTATGTCTATTTTACCTCTGGGTCATGAACTGCGCCTGCGCCTTCGGATGTAAACCAATTTCATAACATCAAAATGATAATCCACACTTATTTGTATTTGTATTTTCTCAAATTTCAGATGATTTTAATTAATTATTTATTAAAACGGGATGACATCTATTCAATTTTCTTCAATGTGGCATCCATACAGTTTTACCATATCCATAGGTATAGCCAATGAACTATAGCTAAAAACTGGAATGCGCACACATTGCCATATCTGCCAAAAAAATGTAGCCATGAAAGACAGATGCCACAAAGGGGAATGTTGTTTTTTTCTGTTGCTCGCCGTCATATGACGTTTTCGAAAGTTTTGTCATATTTCCCTTCACAGGTTTCATCAATTGGAATACGTGTTGGAAGCAATTTTCGCCATTTAACATAATGAGTGCGACAAAAACAGGTATCCCCTCCGCAGCAGCCGCACTAGGCTTCACGTTCGTCCTTATGTGTTAGCATTCCAGTTTTTGGTTATAGTTCATTGGGTATAGCTATAAGCACAAGGTTATTCTTCCTTAAACAACGCCGCTCGTTGTGGTTGATAAGTACAACGAACATTTTTTAGCTACTGCGCATACTCAGTATAACGATAACCACAGCGGAATCGCAAAATAAGAAGTGCAAAAATTCTCTAACACCATGATGATGACTGTAAAATTGACAAAAAGCGCATGTTTGACGTTTGGTTCTCCCGAGAACAGACGTTCTCTTCAAAAAAAGTAGTAGAATAAAATTCTTTCAATTTTCATAGGAAGTGAACGGTCCCTAATTTCGAGAATACGTCGTAATAGATTTTAATAGAAACCACACGTACTTTTCCTATGAGAACAGGGATCACACGATTCGAGAATCGCCGTCCAGGAGGAGCTCCGGAACAGCTCCGGAGGTTTACGCGCTTATTCCTTTCGAAAAGTGTTTGTTGCATCACGCATCTGTTCTCTGCAAATCGGGGGTGACTGAACACCGGAGCGAGTAGCTCGAGTGTTTCAAACTCTTGAAAGGAATACAACTATTCAAGGCAAGAGCATATATCTAATCAAAGAATTGAATGTTGATGGTCTCAAATGAGACGGCTTGGTAGAAATTGGTGGATTAATTATTTTAAAGATCTGAGAGACAGAGGACACAGGCCTCTAAAATGATGGTTATCTGCTTCATGTCGAATATTTAAGGTTTTGCCACAGCATATACAAAAACAATCAGCAGGCTAACTCTCACGCGCATCTTTTCTGCGCACGCCGCCATTAGGGGATACCATTTTGTCATAACGCTGTCATTAAACGGCAGGGGCGCCGAAATTTCATTTTATTTGTTTATTTCTGACGGAACTCATAGACGTGCGGTGTAGAGCGAAATTTTAGTTATAATTTTCAAAGTGATTTTAGTATATTCGTGTTGTCATTTATGGTATTATCTGTTATCATTGTTGTATATTTAATAATAATAATAATAAATTAGTAATTATAACTATTATTATATGTAACTATGTAAGTAATAATAAATAAGTTTATTTAAAGCCAATACGACTCTGTGACACGAAAGAAAAAACCTAAATTATCGTTAATCAGACCCTGTCTCGTATCCCAAAATGGCCGCTAGTGACATCCCGACCATGAATTCCTTTATTACACGGGCTGTCAAGTTAGCCTGCTGATTGTTTTTGTATATGCTGTGGTTTTGCTATGCCGTTTTTTTTTTTTTTTTTTTTAAATCACATCGCAAATGCAAATAAAAACAATCCAACCGCGGATACCTAATGTTTAGGTTACCATTTACAATTTTCAACGATAACATCAATAACGGACTTCTTCCGTAGTAAATCAGAAATTCCGAGTTATGACGTAGTAAATCAGAAATTCCTAGTTATGACGTAGTAAATCAGAAATTCCGAGTTGTGACGACAGTACTAAGAACTCGGAAGACAGATTGCACGACCGGGTTTCCGTAGAATAGCAGGTTAATTACTGATAGTAAATTACCCGGTGAAATAAATAAACCGGTTTTTCAAATAACCGGCTTTTTTGGACATCCCTCCTTGCGTTCGGTATTTTGCTCAAAGAGTAGAGCGTGCCGAGCGGAGCTGTAATCACGTGACCAGCGAGCGAATGGAGCAGTCAATGAACTATAACCAAAAACTGGAATGCTCACACATATTGACGAACGTGAAGCCTAGTACCGCTGCTGCGGAGGGGATACCTGTTTTTGTCGCACTCATTATGTTAAATGGCGGAAATTGCTTCCAACACGTATTCCAATTGATGAAACCTGTGAAGGTAAATATGACAATACTTTCCAAAACGTCATATGTCAGCGAGCAGCAGAAAAAAACAACATTCCCCTTTGTGGCATCTGTCGACTTTCATGGCTACATTTTTTTGGCAGATATGGCAATGTGTTAAGGCTACCATATTTTTCTGATAAAAAAACGGGACATTTTTATGAAGTAAATTTTTCATGTTATTATAGAAAAAATAGCGCCGCAGGCAATTTTTTTTTTTGGGACTACGCCCATAGGACGATCCCACGGATAATACACACTACTACTACAGAATAGCCTATCCTCATAAGGCCTATGTAGTAGAACAAATCTGAAGCCCCCTACCCCACCAAATCACCGTTTGTGACGTAGGCAGCATGTCGTTTTTTGCCTAGACGTAGGCTGTTTGCACCACAGGTTATGATTCCACGGGCTTTTGCTTTATGCATACTTGGTTTTACTACATTAATTAACATTTTAAAACAACTATTTTTCAGATCTCGTTCGCACCTTCCTATTTCCCTATTATGTTAATCAAAATTAAAATTCTAAACTACGACTGCTGGCGCAAACAGCTGACGTCGCTGACGACTTAATTGATGACGTTGGCAATGGTGATACACCAATATGGCGGGGATTACCAAAAACGAGGCCGATAGCAATCCTTTAAGTGGCGTGTATGGTCATGGTCCTTGGGCCAAACTCGCCAAATTCTACACTGTCAAATGTCAAATGCTATCGAATAACTACCACTACCACGTTGCGAATGTTGCGATTTGCTGAGACTACAGGTGAGGCGCAAAAATCGATTTATTTATGCCACCGCAGAGACTGGTAATGAGACGCAAAAATCCAATTATTTTACGCTTTTTAAAATATCAGAGAATACGGGACATTTACGCGTCCCGACAACAAATTTGGGGACGCGGGACATGGACCTTGAAATAAGGGACTGTCCCGTATAATACGGGACGTATGGCAGGCTTACAATGTGTACGCATTCCAGTTTTTGAATATAGTTCATTGGGAGCAGTTGAACGCTGTATCAGAAATGTTAATAACCGAACGCGAATGAGCTTACACCGAGTACACTTTTCAAATAAACGAACGGTAAATTCAAGCTCGGAGTCAAAATATCGAACGCACGGCCTGTTCGTTGTAGTTTTCACTTGTCATTAAAGTTGTATGACGTATGAAGTATGGCCGTCCAGCAGTTTTCCTGTGAAAATTGAAGGTTAACCTCGTTGGACGAAAACCGAAGAGTGTTTTTCTACAAGAAGAATTCGTCGTCTTTTTTTTGCTATATTTTAGCCACGGAAAAATGGACGTTGAAAGCGATCCTTCAGCGATAACAATAGTAGTGGAGGAAGAGGATGGGGCCGTTGCTGTTCCAAACGCCCAAGAAGAGTACCACGATTATCAAGTGCTTGAGGAAATCCAGATCGAGAAAGTGGAAGCAGAAGAATCTGCTGATGAAGATGAGGAGGGAATCTTTGATTGCAAATATTGCAAATTTCAAACTAAAAATATCGAAGAATTGGATGAACACATTATTGGTCATGAAGAAATTGAAGAAGAAGAAAGTGCTGAGGAGGATGGTGGTGATCTACCAGAACAAGAGAAATCAGAAAATGCAACTGAATTTGTAAGTGTTTTTGTTAATATTCAAATTAGTATTTACCCTGGTATTTACCTAAAAAGTGCGGCAACCGAGGGGTGTTTCACTCATGCAATAGATGTACAAATATCATACATTCATGTTTATGCAGTCCACACATTCTTCTGTAGTCCATACATTCTCATGCAGTCATAATACAGTCGCTTGCAATCGTTATAAACTCTGTGCAGTCCGAGGTGCAGTCACATGCAGTATCGTACATTTCATATACACTCGCGAAAAATCATAAGTAGTCGCTGCGAGTAGAGCCTGCAATCTTGTTAGAAATTGCTTAAAAGTCATTGCAGTCAACTATCATCTTTGATACAGTGCAGTCAAATACAGTAGGTGTACAAAATTTAGTGGGTGAAACACCCCTCGGTGATAACTTTACCGTACACAACAACAATTGTGCGGTAAACGCACTTTCAGGGTGTTTGAGTAGAAAACTTTACATATGCGCATCTACATCTTCAAAAAACCGGCAATCGAAAATGAATGGATTTTTGATTGTAAATACCAATCCATGTCACCTCACACTATGTGGTAAAGTCGAGAGTAAAGTGCTACATTCCACAGTGTATATAATATACAGTTCACTGCATAGTGTGCGGTAAGGAAGATTACAAGTGTGTGGTAAAGTAGGCTTTGTTATTTATAATCAAAAATCGCTTCATTTACCTAATTGGACACGGAACATTGTTAGTGGAAGGATACACAAAGTATAAACCTCAGTATAAGAGCAAAATTTAATTTGAAATAAAAAGTTCCAAGAGGTGACATTATTTTGAAATTTCCACATAAATTTCTTCAATAACTAATTCTTAATTGGATTTTCAAGGAAAGCCATCCCTTTGGGGAAGATATGGCACCTTTGGAAAGCTAATAAGTGGTATAAATTCACTGTTCTAGGACCAAAGGAAAAGACTAATCCAGTTTGATATGACTCTTAAAAAAGTTTGTTTCATATTCAAATTTCAAGTATTTTATTTTAGGCCATTCGACTTATGATACTTTCTTGAAAAGCTCAATTAGTTCATAAACTGACGATTGTAGGACTTAAATAAATAAATTGTTGTTCCCGGGGGGCGGTTAACTCTGTTAAATCGGTGTACAAATGGACTTAAATCACTTTAAATCCCTTATTAAATCACATAAATCATCTTGTTTTGCTCTAAATCAGATTAAATGAGGTCAAATACCTTTAAATCGTTTTAAATCCCTTCAAATCTCTTTAAATCCCTTCAAATCTTTTTAAATCCCTCTCAAATCCTTTTAAATCAATTAAATCCCTAAAAATCTGAGATCCGGAACAATTTAAATTCCTAAATAAATTTCCCTAAATCACCTTAGTTTTTTCATAAATCATATCAAATCATGTTAAATCAGGTTAGATCAATTTAAATTTTCTTAAATCTCTTAAAATCCCTTTAAATCTTTTTAAATCTAGTTAAATCTGTATAAATTCCCTAAATCTTTCTATATCTCGTTAAATCTCTTCAAATCCTTTTAAATCTTCATAAATCTCCATTTCTGTATGTTAGGCAAAATGGAGTGTACCCGTTTTTGGTATCATATGGGGCAATGCTAAACAGTTTCCATATAAAATCCCTTGTACAAAGAAGAAATGAACAAGCTGTGATATTCATATACTATATAGTCAATAATATAAAGTACAAACATTGTAATTTTATAAATTTTATGGTACCTAAAATTAACTTAAGGATTCTTAGCATAGATATTTTTAAAACTAGTCAGTATAAACTGTCTCCTCTAAATAAAATGATGGAACAGTGCAATATCGTATACAGGGAAAAGCCATTTGATATATTCAACACTAGCCTCTCTCAGTTAATTGGTTTAATATCTTAATGTGTGATTGTGTAATGTTTCCTTGTTAGAATTAGAAGAATTTTATCTATTTATTGTATGTGTCTTTTATATTAGTTGTAAGTTCTTGTTTATTGTTTTTTCTACTCTCTTTGTTCTTTTGCCCTCGATTTTACCTTTGCTTGTAATTACCTTTACGGTGTTTGTGAAGATGTATCAATAAATAAAAAATAAATAAATAAATCATTTCAAATCGATAAAGAAAACGGTTAAAATCCCGCGTAAACTTTGGGCGACTCCAACTTGACAAACCTCGAGGTGCAATTGCTTATATTCGTTTGCGACTTGCACATGTGTGTTTTTTCAAGTCTCTCTTCAAGTTTTTTGTGAATTCAAATTCAAGTTTTAATTAATTAATTACATTGTGTACCAAGCGAGGTACCAAGACTAGCTGACTTTGGTGGCACTTTTAGAACTGATAAGGTGTTCTAATTCAGGCTTAATGGCCATCGTAAGTTGGAATTTCTTCCTAAGAAAAAGGAAGAAATTCCAACTTACGACGGCCATTGAGCCCGAATGAAAACACCTTATCAATAAACCTGGGCGCAAAACCCTCACAAACTTTATCACTTTAAAACTTTTTTTTTATTAGTTCAACATTTAAATTGGACCGAGAATTGGACTTTTATGAGAGCGAATGTACCTATTAGCACTAAAATATCTGGTTATTAGATACATTTTATCTTCTCAGGATTAAATTATTTACCTTGAATCATCCCAAGTTATATCAGTTCAAGTCATTAAAAAAATCTTAAATCCATTTAAATCTTCTTAAATCAGGTTAAATTTTCCTAAATCAGGTTAAATCTTCCTAAATCAGCTTAAATCTTTTTAAGTGATCCAATAAATCTTCAAATTACCTTAAATCACCTTAAATCAGTTAAGGTTTGAATAAAAATCTCTTAAATCTGATCAAATCTGTTAAATTAGTTAAAATCAAGAGTGATTTTAAATCGGTGTACACATTTTGAGGAAGTTGACCGCCCCCCGGTTGTTCCCTATTATATTCAAAATTCTAAACTTCCATTTCTACCATTTTGTAACAGTATCAACTTTAACATCAGCTCTACAAATTTTTGCATCTGCCAAATACTGCTTTGAATTTTTCCAAATTCCAGCTACAAATTTCTTTGATTCACAAATAATTGACTTCATGGAAACTAGGAAACTACCGAGGAAACTACATTATATGCTAGTTTCTGACATGCGAAAAATAAATTGATGGTAACAATTATGTCTTATTTGTTTCAGCCAATTCCCCAAGAGCACCAAAAATACCCAACATTTTATGAGGAATTCAGAAACAAACCAGTAAAAAACATATTCGCCTGCCCATTTTGTGGCTATCAATCGATGAAAAAATTGGATATGAATCAGCATATAAGAGACCATAGATCGCCTGTAGAGCTTCCTGTTTATAGTTGCTCAGAGTGCTTCTACACAACTTTCAGAAAATTTGATATGCCCAAGCATTTGCTTACCCATTGCGACAATTATCCCAAATACGAATGCAAGGAATGCCCCTATGCAACTAAAAGAAAAAGCGATTTAAATAAGCATATAATTGGCCATACTACCAAGACTCTTAGTAAGCGATTATTCCCTTGCCATATGTGCTCGTACTCCACAACAAGACGAGGTGATTTAAAGAGGCATTTATTAAGCCACCAAGTTAACAAATCCCTTTTTATTTTCAATTGCACCGAGTGTGGTTACTCTGCCAAAAGATTAAATGATTTAAACAAACACATGGCTCTTCATTGCGACAGAACAGTAGAAGGCATTCTGAAATGCCCTAAATGTGACTATGCTACTATTAAAGCTAGCCCATTTGCACGACACATTCTGAGTCAATGTCAAACCAGGGAATCACCAGAAGCTTATCAGACTGAGCAAACAAATGAGAATTTGGAACAAGATGTGGACAAGTGTAATGGGTCACAGGAAAAAGATCTGTCACAGCATTTGGATGAATATATTGTAGAAGATGATGGGGCTAGTCATGTAGTGGAAATAGTTGAAGAGAATTACGAAAACGACGCAGTTGTTGTTCTAGAACAATTTGAGAGTTAATTAAGACGCTTATAGTAGATTATTAAACTTACCAAAAAAATATAATTTTAAATAAAACTTTAAAATATATCTTCACATAAATCATTTTATTACCTACATTATAAATATAAAATCACATTGAATTACTACATAATCGAGAAATGTTATCGAAAAAAAGGCAAAATTATTTAAAATATTTCAATGAACAAAATAATAATATTTTGTAATTGAAACTATTCTAGACAAATTAGGTTAATATCTCTAGACTCCATACAATAAAATAGGTAATAGATTCATACTTATATCTAACAATTGTTTAGATTTTTTTTAAAAAGTGGAAAACTTAGCCTATACATAAAATGGATAACAATTTTTGTATACACCATAAAAATATTCCTTTACAGGAATGTGTTGGGTTGGGTGATTGTTATGGTTGAGTCTTTGGCACTTTTTTTTTCAATAAAAATAGATGACCACTTTACCGTTAATTCCACGACATCACAAAGAAACTGATGAAGGTGTACCAATACACTTGGTATTGATAGAAATTTTATGGATGAGAATTTCTTTTTCTCTGATTACATTTGAAGCTGCTTTGAGATGTCCTGAATTGAGCCCTCAACTTGTGTATCCACTGTGCATATCCAAAATAATGTCTCTTTTATCAAAATTTAAAATCTACCTATTTTCTAATGATGTAATTTTTTCTAAAGAATTACATAAACCACAAGTAACATGAAATTGTATTTTGTCACTAACATTCAGAAAAGTACCTCCGTGCATTGGTAAAATTAATTTGTTGTGCTTAAATAAAACATAAATCAGGTTACTTGTAGTCGTCAATAAATAAACATCTACACTAATAAAAATATATTTATAAATCCTGATTATATAAATATAGATTTCTTTGGCTGATTATAAAATGGTATAAAATCTAGATCTATGATAGTTAAGAATTTGCTTCTGGCGGAGGCAGTGGGGCATTTTCTTCATAAATCATCATTAAAGAACTGAAAGATCGATTCTTTTTCTGCAAAAAAAAAAACTTTAAGTAAAACTTCTAAGAGTGAAACGATTTTTGAATGTTTTGTTGCATATACAAATAATAACTTACTTGGTTTGATATGTGTTGGTTAGTTGGATTTTCATCGCTACTGCTACTACTTGACGAAGAACCTTCTTCTAGAGTTAAAGCCTTCGATAAGCCTTCCAGTTCCATTTCAATGTAGAGCTGGTGCAGTTGGTCGTTTACCATCATAGGCTGTTCGGAACTTTTCAATTTGTCCATATCCTTTTTCAATATGTCTTCTAGATTTTGCACAGCCACCTGGTATCTGTAGATTAAATCTGGAGAAACTGATACCGATTCCACCCAGGGTGGATCCTTTTTCCTCATTGGGTAAGTTTTGCGTTGCTGCTTGAACATTTCCTATAAATTAATTTTTTTTATTAATTTTAGCTGATAATTGAGGAAGTTGTATTATTTACATCATCAGTCCTATTGGTATTGGTGTTATTGTTCGAGGTAGTATCATAATTTGAGCCAGATTCAGTTTTCAATAAAGAAGAATAAGAACTAGAATAGCAGCTACTTTCTTCGTCCATACGTTTGCTTCTGTAACAATTATTCGGCTGTAATGGTTGCTTTGGAGTTTCCATTGTCTGTAAAAAAAATAATAAGTTTGTTACTACTTGGGTAAGTGTAAACATTGAAAGGTGAATTATTCTATCTATAGGGTTGATTTGATGATGCATGCAATGATGAAAAGTGTTTTATTTACAATCATACATGTAATGTTGACTTTACTGACTTTTAAAAAGTTCGAAAATGTCACTTTTTTGACTTTTACTTTCGGCCCACGGGTCAAAAGTTTACTTTCGACCCGTGGGCCGAAAGTAAATGAAATTGTTAATTATTTTATTTTTGAGTTTTAATCCAAATGAAAATTTCAAAATTCGAATGATTGTAAATAAAATAGTATACATACCTCGGTGAAAAGTTTCATTACTGTCTCGAGATTTCAGTTAGACCTCGGCTGCGCCTCGGTCTAACTTAAATCTCTCGACAGTAATGAAACACTTTCCACCTCGGTATGTAATATACTATTAAATGATAGCGTGTGGATTTTGGACTTGGACCTGTAGTATATTGTATATTCCTTAAAAATAAAATAGCGAATTCTATTAGTTCAGCACGTTTGCTCTTCGCAGATCTGACTGAATAGGCGATTAAACACTGTAATTTTTTTTTTGCCAATCGAATTTGCTATGGGTTGGTGTATATTTGAATGTCACTCAACGCTTATGTAAAAGGATTGATATTTACATACCATCTTAAATGAAATATTGGAAACCAGACATGAATTAATTATATAATAGTAGTTAAAAGTCTAGCAATTTTTGTTTTTTAAACCACTTTTTCTTCTGAGAATTATTGTGTGTAAAGAGTAAAAAAGGACCTTTATTTTGTATAAAATTGCTAAACTTTTGAACCGCTGAAGAATGCTTTATCGCTTAACAACCCTCTGCATTGGGGCAGTTTGCTATGATTAAAAAAATACTTATTAAAATGACCTTGACGTTAGCCTTAAACTGTTCTGCTTGGGTTTCACCATCCGGAGGGCTGACCAGGGGCGTATCAGGCGAACAGACCGATTGCAAACCCAAGTCCTTTCGTGAACATTCAGACAACGCCTAAAAAAATAAATCCAAGACAGGGTTGACTTGTATTTCAATCCAAATGAACAAAATACATATAACAATTTTAAAGACAAATTCAATGATAATAAACCACCCCTAAAAAACCTAACAAAACACATCTTTGGAATTCAAATTAAAAAATCATTTAAATTAAATCTAATTACAAATCGGACATAAACTAGTCCAAAATAAGCAATGTATCATTTTGTATGATAATATAAAAGAGATTTATTGAATTTTCCAAATTTTCAATATAATTTGTTAAAATATAAATTTACCTTATTGACGTAGACACTGGCAGAAGCTATAGAACCCATTCTACTACCAAGTTCAGCTTTGACAGAAGTCGCTTGCGACGATGGTCTGTCGCATTGCTGCATTGGTCTGGTAACATTTGATGGGCTTTTGCCAAATTGGTCTGATTGTTGCATTAGACCACTGTTGGACAGTCCTGGATTAGTTGGACATGGTGGACCCGACATAATCTTTGGACAAAATAATTCAAAGTTGTACAAAAAATGTTAAGCGAAACAATTTTAAATCTATAAAGGACATTAGAAAGTGAACATATTGAATCAGAACTCCATGTACACCGAGAGCCATAGTTGAGAAATCTTATTACGGTCCCTCTTGGGGTCACTTCCTGGGGTTTACATCGATCCCTTGTTTATTAATGATTTTTGTGCTTGTTTCCGATCAAGTAAAGTCTCGCTTTTCGCTGACGACATGAATATGTTTACACTTGAATAACTATAGTAGGTAATTTGTGCCTAATGCAATCAAAGCCTTCTAAAAATGAGTTTTGTAGGCGCGTCGGCGTTACAAGCTGAAATTTGCACAGAATGAAGGTTTTATAATATTAATTCAAAATCCCAAAGTAATACAAAATCAGAACAGGCAAAAGGGCAGTATATTTAAGAATTGAGATTATTGCATGAACGTATAGAATAGTAATTTATGACTGTTCTCAAAATTTGGACTAAAAGTCAACTTTGGGCTCAATTGCTCAAAAACTATTTGAGCTATTGAACTCAATTTTGCACAAATTTATAGAGAATTTAATGCTCTTTTGAATGGTGTATAACAGTATAATTTAATTCAATTTTCTCAAAATTTACCAAAGATATGTGCAATTAATTGTTCATCATGACCATGTCGAGATTTTGAAAATTTTCCAGAGCTAAAAACAGGATATTCTTTTTATTTTTGTTTCTGCTTGAAATGGCCATTTGAAATTGATGTCAGGGTTGTTTTCCATTAATTTCGACCCGCTCTATCGATTAATAAAGTCAAAATTGAGCAATACTGAAAAATAAAAAAATCGAGTTTTTCATAAGGGTAACCTCTTTGAATTCTGATTTCAAAATATTCAAACCTCAGTTGCCTGGTAACCGTTAAGCAAATTGCATTAAAATTCCCCTAATTTGTAGCTTTTATCAGGTCCTAAATGGCGTGTAATTTACAATATTCCCAGATCTATAGTTTTTGAGCAAAATGAGTTTGAAGTTTTTGACACATTTTGGACTAAAAGTCAAATTTGAGGCTCAATTGCTCAAAAACTATTTGATCTATCAAACTCAATTTTACACAGATTTATAGAGAATTTAATGGTCTTTCCAATGGTACATAATTTAGTCCAATTTGCTCAAAATTTACCAAAGATATGGGCAATTATTGTTCATGACCATGTCAGGAATTTGAAAATTTTCCAGAGCCAAAAATAGGATTTTCTTGTTATTTTTGTTTCTGCTTAAAGTGGCCATTTGGAATGGATGTCAGGGTTATTTTCCATCAATTTTGACCCGCTCTATCGGTTAATAAAGTCAAAATTAAGCACAACTGAAAAATAAAAATCGAGTTTTTCATAAGGGTACCCCCTTTGAACTCTGATTTCAAAATATTCAACCCTCAATTGCCCGGTAACCGTTAAGCAAATTGCATTAAAATTCCCAGAATTTGTAGCTTTTATCAGGTTCTAAATGGACTTTAATTTACAATATTTCCAGATGTATAGTTTTTGAGCAAATTGAGTTTGAAGTTTTTGACAAAATTTGACTGAAACTCAACTTTGAGGCTCAATTGCTAAAAAACTATTCGAGCTATTGAACTTAATTTTGCACAGATTTATAGATAATTTAATGCTCTTTCCAATGGTATATAATTCAATTCAATTTGCTCAAAATTTAACAAAGATATGGGCAATTGTTCACGACCATGTCAAGATTTTGAAAATTTTCCAGAGCCAAAAATGGGATTTTCTTTTTGTTTCTGCTTGAGATGGCCATTTGGAATTGATGTCAGGGTTGTTTTCCACTAATTTTCACCCACTCTATCGATTAACAAAGTCAAAATTGAGCAAAACTGGAAAGTGAAAAAATCGAGTTTTTCATAAGGGTAGGTACCGCTTTGAATTCTGATTTCAAAATATTCAAACCTCAACTGCTCGGTAACCGTTAAGCAAATTGCATTGAAATTACCAGAATTTGTAACTTTTATTAGGTCCTAAATGGCCTGTAATTTACAATATTTCCAGATCTATAGTTTTTGAGCAAATTGAGTTTGAAGTTTGACAAAATTTGGACTAAAAGTCAACTCTGAGGCTCAATTGCTCAAAAACGATTCGAGCTATGAAACTCAATTTTACACGGATTTATAGAGAATTTTATGGTCTTTCCAATGGTACATAATTTAGTCCAATTTGCTCAAAATTTACCAAAGATATGGGCAATTATTGTTCATGACCATGTCAAGAATTTGAAAATTTTCCAGAGTCAAAAATAGGATTTTCTTTTTATTTTTGTTTCTACTTAAAATGGCAATTTGGAATCGATGTCAGGGTTGTTTTCCACTAATTTTGACCTGCTCTATCGATTCATTTATCATGACGAAGCGTATGAGAACAGTCATAAATTAATATTCTATACATTCATGCAATAATCTCAATTTTCAAATATATTGCCCTTTTGCCCGTTCTGATATTGTATTACCTTGGAATTTTGAATTAACATAATAAAACCTTCATTCTGTGAAAATTTCAGCTTGTAACTCCGACGCGCCCACAAAAGTCAAAATATAATATGAGGAGCACTTTACTAAAATTAACCCAATCAAAAGCTGAGAATTGTGATTTTTAAAATTCAAGTTTTTAATATTCCAGGCACTTGATTGGCTCAGTTCTATATTGCAGAAATAATTCAATCAATCAAATTAAACCAGACAAAATCCAGAAATTTCCAAAACATGAATTGTTAAATTCAAAATCAATGTATCACTATTTCAAGCTCTAGATTGAATTAGTTTGATTGATTGAATTGCTGAAAATTGAATTCTGATTAAATCTTGATTACTTTGATTTGAACAAATCTAAATGAAACTACCTACATTCTTTCGCTTGCTACTTTCAACCAATTTTCAAATATAATACAATGCAACAGTTTATGCTTGAAGCAATTGACAGTAGTTTGGATATGGATATTTTTAACATAGTAATAAAAATAGTTACCTTTGGAGAAGCAATATTAGTCCCAAATTGACGTCCATCAATACCAATCGGTGTACCAGGATTTTGAGCAGGCATTGGAACTATCGGTACAGTCGGACACAGCATGGGTTGTGGCAAAAAGATTGGGTTGTAGTTGCAATATAGATTGGCTGGCATGTATTGGACTACATAGACAAAAGTATATTGTAAAAAATGCCTTTTTTCAAATATAGTAAAATCTACCTTGGAATCTTTCACTTGGTTCTACGTTGGTAGGCACAGGCCTGGGTTGAACGAATGTGGGCATATAATAAACTGGCAATATGCTTGGAGTGTTCGGTGTGAAACATGGCTGGGTGGAGGTTTGAGTAAACTGTGGCCAAATATTACCACTTGCCTGAAATAATTATCGTTATTAATAAAATGGTATTTGAAAAAAATTATAAAAATACTTACATTGAACAAATTATTTTCCGTTCTGTAAACTTTATTATTAGGAGGTTGTTTTTGTACAGTTTGAGTTATCATAGGATTGATTGTATTGGTTTGGTGGTTGTATTTGGAGAGTTTGTGGTAATCTTGCTTCCATGATATTGAACCGCTCCTTTTAACTCCTTGATTATGCTAATATAATAAAATGTTTGTTGAAAAATTGCCCGATTCAATATAATAATTATTTAAGTACCTCATTTGCAGGTTCATCTCTCAACCCGCTGTTGCCATATCTTTCCAATTTCTGATGGCATTTTTTGGTTTCGCGGCTCTTAACGTGGGATCGTTCTTTTTTGTGTTTTTGTATCATTATTTTTTCCATGTCCTCGTTGTGCCTGACCAATACTGAAGCAGTCAAATGCGGAGGCTTATAATCGTCGTTTGAGGTGTTGGTACCACTTGTGGTTCCGCTTTCCAAATTCGGATTACTGCCCGAACTTAGATTACCTGCGCTGCCGCAACCAGAAGCTCCACTGTTTTGAAGTGGTGACAAACATTTCCTAAAAAGATTGTTTTTACTTGGGGTTGATTTTTTTTAATAAATGGTTGAATTCTTTTGATTTTGAGCATATAAGAAGACGATGGTTTTATTATTTTTGCCTCTAGCAACTTACAGCTTCAAATTTCAAAGATGTCACATTACTTACTGTGTATTTGGTGCAATCGGACCACAATCCTGTCCATTTTTCCCATCGGTATCCATCATAACAATACTAGCCAAATTACTTTCATCAGAAGTTACTGTTGTTTTAGGATTACTTTGAAAAAATCTTGTAATATTTTCGTTGTAATTCAACTGGTTGTAGCTGGGCGGAGTTTCTGATGAGGATTTGCTGTCACAAAGATCGTGATGTGGAGAAATTTCGCCCAACATTACAGAATCTCTTTCAGAAATGCTCGGGTGTGCAGTGTCGATTTCTAATTTTGATGTGTGCATTAGTGATTCCATGAAATTTGCTAAATCTTTGCAACGTTTCGAGACTTCTTGTTTACCAACTTCCACTGGTCTAGGTTGCTCCTAAACAATAATATTATGTATAAAGTAATATTTAAATGCAAAAATAATTCACTTACCTTTGTAAGAAACTGTAAAATTTCCATTTGCAAAACTTTCCCTTGCTTTATAACATCTTCAGGGATTTTTTTGTACTCTTCATTGGTAGGTACATCGAAAACGTTTGGATTCAAAGGACCCTAAACAAAAATATGTCAAATTTCCAACTCACTCTAATATTTTCAAAATTTACCTGTAATACTTGATGCAAACTAATCACAAACTCTAATCGTCTGGACCAAGGATTAACAACGCTGGACCACTCAGTTTCAATCATGGCAAAACAGCCGTTTTGTACTAAAAACCTGTAAGGCTTACTTCGGTACACAGAACCATTTACTTGGCACGTATTCATCACTAGAATTCACAAAAATTGATTATTATAAGGCATTAGACTTGATTAGGACACTAGCGAGTTTCAGTTTCAGATTATGGCAAATGCAATTTTTTTTCTAGCTAAAAAATCTCAACTCAAAACTGTTATATGTGTAGTTATAGAATTAAATTGAGACTTACCAGATTTGTAAATTTCTTTAAGAAAAGGCATGTCTTCGGGATGATAAAAATCAAATACTGACTTTCCTAGCATGTCTTGAGGCAAAAATCCAAAACTGGCAACTACATCTGGATCAATATAGCTAAATATACAAGTAGCAGTATGACGCATACCCAATTTAGTGGTTGATGTTTTTGTTTCACCTGGAACTAAATATTATTTTGTAATAAAGAAATATGTACAAATATTTTGTAAAATATTACCTTTATAGGCACTAAAGACAGGCACTGCGATAATTACTAAAAAGAATCCATTGTTATGAGTTTCTGAAACTTCGGTTAACTGTTTCAGAGTAACAGTTAAATGAAAGGCTTGATAAGATGGCAATGATTCTTCTGCTTGGAGATTGGGATGTCTTTTAAGGCATACATACAAATAATTTCTTACATCTGAAAAATTTATAGTTGTTAATCGAATTAAATTTATATTTGAGCAAGTAAATTTACCTGTAACTTTTCCTTGAGAATCGACCAATGGCATACCCACGCTGGTGCTAACTTTGTTGGAAAACGTTTCTCGGTCTTTGGGATGGACAAAATCGATGAAAGAATGTCCCAACCACATGTCAGTCGGGAACCCTAAAACGGGAGTGAGGCTGGGTGTAGCATAAAGCACCACACCGTCGTACATGGAGATTACACAGCAGAAACCATCCTAATAATAATTTTGATGGATTAAGATTTTTGTTACAATTTGTGCATGCTTGTTTGGTTTGTTGTTTTCTTTTTCAAATCTAGTAGTTATACAGACTGGACCAGGTTACTAGACACAAAGGAAGAAAAACATTAGATGAACCAGGAGTAAAAATTCAAAAAAAAAATCAAGAGCCTGAAATAGGAAAAATTATAAAAATTCAAAAATTTGAATTGGAAGAGAAACATGTTCTTGCTAATATTTCCCTATTATTAAGTACTTAACTCATTTTATGACTTTCAATTTTTGTCTATTCCAGGCGCTAGGCTCTCTGAAATAATTCTGAGGTTTTCAAATTGTTTCAAAGTTTTTCAAAATGCTGCCTGAACGTGTTTTGGAACGTTCTAAATGGTTTATTGAAGTTCCAATGTGTTCTAACTTGGCTTGAAGAGTTCTGGAGCATTGTAGAAGTTCTAAATTGTTCTGACATAGTTTTAAGTATTTTAGAGCCCTATTGAAGCCAGTGTTGCCAGGTCATATTTTGTTTTGTCAGTAGATTAGCAGTCTAAATATCAGTAGAAATCAGTAAACAGATCCAGTTGCCTTGTTGAAGGGGTAAACCATTAGGGTATACTCAATTAATTATTTTAACTAGGTTTTTTTTTAAATCATCAAATCATTAGACTATGTATTAGACTATGAAAACTTGCATTAGAAAATCAAACACCAATACTACTTATGAGAAATAGTTTATCAAGATTAAGACACATGAGATATTCCTATTAAATATGCACTACCTATGGGATGCCCTGGTTCTATATTCTTGAAGAGTACAATTTCCCGATTCCCAAAACTATATAGTTTGTCTATATTTGGTTGAGCCGGCTCCAACATATTTGGTTCTAAAAATTGTAAAAATACTATCAGAGAAACCAAGTACCTACCTCAAATTTTACCTGCAGCTCTCACCTGTACAGGTAGGATGGTTCACAAAATCAGTATAGTAGGATAGTATGTTTACAATTTTTGGAGCCGAATATATGAGAGACTGTTCAATCAAATATAGACAAACTATATATTTTTGAAATCGGGGCATTGTGCTCTTCAAGAATATAGAATGAAATATAGGGCATCCAATTTGAAAAAAGCTGGAAGTATGCAAAATTTCACATTTCTGACATTCAAATTTTGTTTCTGACCATGGTTTCTGAAAATTCAGCCAAAACTGTACAACTTTTTGTATTTACACCTTTTTTCTATCTGTTAAGGTAAAGGAGGTAGGTGGAGTGTCAATATATAAAAAAACACCCTGTTCAAATAAGTGGATTATTGCGGATTTTATGGGTGGATTATTGCGGATTTTATGGGTGGATTATTGCGGATTTTATGGGTGGATTATTGCGGATTTTATGGGTGGATTATTGCGGATTTTATGGGTGGATTATTGCGGATTTTATGGGTGGACCTCTGCGGGACGAGCGCAGCGAGTTCCGCCGCCATCTACTCACCAATATACTGCTGAACTGTTCAAGTAAGACAGTCACCTGAACCATGTAGTTTTTAAACTCATGAGAATAACTCATATTTGAGTGAGTCAGATTAGTATCGTAATTAAACAACATATTGATGAATAGATGGCTGCGGAACTCGCTGCACTTGTCCCGCAGAGGTCCACCCATAAGTTCCGCAACAATTCACTCATTTCTACTTGAATAACTTGTCACAATATATTACTAGTTTGGTAAAGTAACATTACTAATTCCTGTTGAAAGGCGAATTGACAAGAAGTGGATAATCATAATCTTACAAATTCTGACTTTATATAGTAATAAGTTATTGTTCAAGTACAAATAAGTGGATTGTTGTGGATTTTATGGGTGGACCTCTGCGGGACGAGCGCAGCGAGTTCCGCAGCCATCTACTCTCCAATATACTGCTGAACTGTTCAAGTAAGACAGTCACTTGAACCATGTAGTTTTTAAACTAATGAGAATAACTCACATTTGAGTGAGTCAGGTTAGTCTCGTAATTAAACAACATATTGATGAATAGATGGCTGCGGAACAAGTTCCGCTTCACTCATTTGTACTTGAATAACTTGTCACAATATATTACTAGTTTGATAAAGTAACATTACTAATTCTTGTTGAAAGGCGAATTGACAAAAAGTGGATAATCTTACAAATTCTGACTTTATATAATAAGTTATTGTTCAAGTACAGAATGTTTTTTTATATATTGACACCCCACCTACAGCCGTCACCTTTAGAAGTAGAAGAAAGGTGTAGATACAAAAGTTGTACAGTATTGGCTAAATTTTTAGAATCCATGGTCAGAAACAAAAATTGAACGTCAGAAATGTGAAATGTTGCATGTTTTCAGCTTTTTTCAAATGGGAGTACCTATTGTTCGACAATTTTAATCTGATACTCGGAAGGAATGTGAGCTGGTGGCTTTGTACATTAGAACGCCAATGGTTATCTGACGTTGCACCTGTTTTTGCCATATGAAACACCCCCTCGCTCCTCATACGGAAAGTTTCAGTTTAAAATCGACGAACAATATGCAGTAGTCTAGTCTTATAAAAACAGGCTACAGTTAGTTGTACAGCATAACGCTATGTAACCAATTGACTAACCAACAACAACGCATGCCTTTACGCAACTGGCAAAGTCCTAACCCAAAGGTCGCGTATGAAATTATTGCTGTGACATTCTCATACAAGATTTTAATTTAAAAAAATGTCATAAAAAGCAGGTAAATAATGACAACGGCTTTTATCAGTAGAATTTACATTGATATCAGTAGACCAGTGGCGAAATCAGTAGATCTACTGATAAATCAATAATCCTGGCAACACTGATTGAAGCTCTAAAGTGTTCTAAATTGATTCAAAAGAGTTCTAAAAGGTTTCCAGTTCTAAATTGAATCCTAATTGTTCTAAAATAACTCTAAAGATTCTCAATTGTTCCAAAATGCTCCTGAAAATTCTTATTTGAATTTGAACTGTTTTGGATGCTTTATCAAAGGCCCAAAGTTCTACAGCAATGTGAGTCGCTCTTAGTGAATGCCTTCTGAAAGACTATTTTCAAAATGTTTCTGGGGATTTTAGAGTGTTTGGGTTTCAAACTTCCTAATTGTTCTAAAATGCTTTTGGAAATTGTAAATTTTTTGATCTTCAGACGTTCAAATGTAATGCAAAGACGTCTTTAAGACCTTGTGTGCTGTCTGAGAAGCCAATTCGTCTTATTATTACTTACTCCTATGTGTCTAGTAAGTTGATCCGTCCTGTAGGTATATTTATTTCACTAATGTAAAATGTAAAAAACATCATATAGCTAGGTACTAATCCACTTACATTGACTTCAGGTTGACTATGCATCAGATCAGATTCAGGCAGTTCTTTGTCAAAGTGATTCTCAGCAACTTTTTCTCCTAATTCTTTGTCTGGCCATATTTGTGGCATTTTTTCTTCTTCAGCGCTAATAGTGATCATTTCTGAAAAAGAAATATTTGTTTAATAAACGAATAAACTATGACAGTAAATTATTACTGACCATCAACATCAGTTTGAACTTGAGACGCAACAGTGATCAAAAGTGGCTCAGCAGTTTTAGCACCAACTTCCAAATTTTCTGGTACTATTTCTGGAGATGATACTGCTTCCACACCTAAATAATTGTAATAACAAATTAAATAAAACATTTTATTCAAATGGCTTTTATTGAATGAGTTTTTGGGTGAATGTATTGTAGATAAATCAAATAAATTTAAAAAAAAATACCCAAAAATATCATCAAAGAAATATTATCAGAAAAAGACCTTTTTTTTTTCTTTCATTAAATATGGACACTTAACTTTTAAATTTGATCCAACTTAAATAATTAAATGTTAAATGTTCTAATTTAATTTCAACCGACCAAATACCAAAAAAAATGAAACAGAGGTACTTAATTAAGTAAAACAAAGAAAAAAAGGGAGTTTTGCTCCCCTATTTTTAGTGAATTTACCTTACTTTGCCCGCAAAGTTCACGTCACTCCTCGATTCCAAATCGCCCCTTCTACAAGTGACGTCACTAATAGACCTAAGCATCTGTTTTTTTAGTGTAGGTACACAGAAATTTCGTTTTAATGCACACAGGGGTTCTGCAGATTAATACAGGATGTCAAAAAATAATGGGACAAACTGGAAGAAACTTTTTTTTTATGCCAAAAAGTTGAATTTTGAATCTATTTTACCATAAATATCAACAACTAAAAAGTTTGTGACATTATTTTTGTCATACCTTGTATACAGTAGAACAAAACATTTTTATATTTTAGTGATTTTATATTGACTTGACGATATATTTTGGGTGCGCAATGTCCAACCTGTCTGGTGAGGCTCGAATAAACAACTGTGGTCCCTGGCTGAAAGTATTTGTTGAATTGTGTTAGAATTTAAATTTTTTAGTGTTTCAGATTTATGAAGAAATTTGCGAACGAATTTGTCACAATTTCTTTTTTTTTTAACTAAAATTCAAAAATCACAAGCACTGAAACGTTTAAGACAAATTCCAGTACATACCAATAATAGTAGGCTTGACAGGTGGCGCCACGTTTAGATTCTCGTTTGGTACGCTGAATGCTTGTGGAATAGTGGCAAGAGTTGGCACCACGCATTTTTGCTTTTTCTTTTTGTGCTCTCGGTCCTTGTTGCGCTTAGATGTTTGCGGATGACCGGAGTCAGTACTAAAATTATCACTAATTTTACTACTCAAAATTATTCGAAATTATAACAAAAATTACCTTTCGTTCGGATTCGGTGCTCCTCCGTATCCGCTGCTTCGGCTCGAATTACTACCGCCGCTGTGTCTGGATTTTGAACTTGCGCTGCCTTGCGACGTCGTGTTGCTGCAACTGTTCGAATATCCTGAATCGGAAATTTTGGTATTGTTTGTACTTGATTCCATTTTGTTGAGGGAATCTGTAAAAACGATATGCTGTATTTATACTGTATAGCGAAAAGGTCACATAACAATTTTGTATTGAGTAAAAGAAAATTATATAGCCACATGTTGAATAACGTGTCCTTTAAGTCTATTTTAGCTTCAGATTACGAAACGTTTGCTTTTAATTTATTGAGATGTTGTATTGGGTATAGATTTTGCAAATTTCATGGTCTTGATGGATGAGTCTTTAAAACTCCTATGGTAATTTGATAGAGCTATTGAAGTAAACTTTGCTAGATCAGATTTCTATGGAGCTACTTAGACATCACATAAAGAAGACTCTATAAGATGTCCACAAACGACATTCAAGAGTGACGTCTGCTTACATCTTCAAGACGTCTTAAAAACATCTCAAAGACGTTGTGTGTTACAAAAGTCGACGTGTTCAGGAGTAATATTTCATTATTATTACTCATTTCAATTTTTGTCTATTCCAGTCACTAAGCTTTGTTTTGAAACCTTTAAAAATGCTGCTGGTGTGTTTTGGGACGTTCTAAATGGCACTTAAGTGTTCTAACTTGGCTTGAAGACTTCTGGAACATTCTAAAAGTTTTTCAGTAATTTCTAAATTGTTCTGACAGAGTTTTAAGTATTTTAAAGTGTTCAAAAGAGTTCTAAAAGCGTTCCAGTTCTAAATTGCATCCTAATTGGTCTAGAATAACTCTGAAGTTTCTCAATTGTTCAAAAATACTCCTGAAAATTCTGATATGAATTTGAATTGTTTTGGATGCTTATTAAAGGTCTAAAGTTCTACAGCAATCTAAGTTCGTTCTTGAAAGCCTGAAAGGTGTTTTGTAACTTTTTTTTGCATGCCTTGAAGCATCTTATTGATCACCTTTTGGAACACCGCCGGAGCATTCGTCAAGCCCAATGGGACCTTTAAGTACTCATAATGCCCATCCGGAGTCACAAACGCCGTCTTTGTTATAGAATCGCTATGCACTAGACTAGAAGATTAGAATAGCAAAGTACGAATGGCTTAAACGTGAATGCTCAGAGATAGAGCAGCTGTAAAATCAACACGATGTCTTTAACCTGCACAAAAAATTGAAGAAGACTGCCGGCATATATAAAAAAATGAGACCAACTCAACTATAACAGTATATAATAACAATCAGATAGTCCTCGACAGCAAAAAGAAGAACATATTTTGGGGAAAGGTATATTGAAGAACACTTTGACGATGACAAACCTACAGCTGGTATCAATAACTCTCTAACCGGCCCATCCGTCACTAAGGACGAGATTGAAAGTGCCATACGTAATTCAAAAAATAAAAAAGCGGCTGGCCGAGATGAAATTCCTTCAGAAATACTTAAACTCCTAGATGAAAGAGGCATCACAGCGCTACATAAATTATTTAACTCTACTTATGAGACACGTCACTATCCCAAACAGTGGTTGTGCTCTACTTTTATACCTCTGCCTGAGAAGATCAATGCAAGAAAATGTGAAGATCATAGACTTAACGTCTTCTAGAAAGTAGTACTTGAATGCTCCTCTTCAATAACTAATATAGACTTGATCAAAGGTGATATGAGAGACCTCATTTCAAAGTTTTAAAGATTATTTGCCTTTTTCCTTGAACCCTTACTGAAATCAACCCCAACTCAAGTTATATACATTTGTAATAAATGAAAAAAAAAAGTTATTACCAGACTAAAGATTCGGATCCAGTTTGATTAATCTTTCACATAATGCATCTCAACAATTTTCTGTTTGATTGAAGTAGAAACCAAAATAAACTTCAAATTAACATCAATCAACAGTAATATTTTTCCAGTCCTCGTGGCAAAATTTCTTCATAGAACACGTTTGCTCAATTGTGAGAAGCATTAGAAAAAGTCAGCCGCTCATTTATTATAAACATGTGCCAGGGAAAGAAACTCTAGCTTGCACATGTTCACAATTATTGAATTGAAAGAAATCCAATTATCAGGCAATAATAATTCGTTGTGCAATACTTGATTGAAGTTATAAATAAGTCTGTTGAAAATAGACATTAATGGACAATTAGATAATCTTAACAACTCATTTAACGACTCCAAAAATAAATTTAGGCTGGACTATGACAGTTTTTCAATTCAATTAATTTCTTTTATTGGAAATGTGTCCATCAAGTCTTTATATAAACTTGATTATAAAACGAAATTTTTAATTAGTCAATTTTGTTTTTCTTAATTGGCTTGTGCTAATGAAATCTTGCGTCGATATTTCTAAATGTAGATTGTTATGAGACAAAAAATATTGCAGATAATAATTATTTTAGAATTTTCATAATGAAACAATTACGCCATATACAGAGACGCTTTAAATAGAGGGCTATATTTTACTGTGATACGATATAATTTGGTAAATGTCATATAAAAATAGGATTGTTACGAGACAAAATTTGAGAAAATGTCTGCGGATGATGATAACTTTACACAATTACGAAACATGGACATAATAATGAAGCTAATTTGAGAAATGAAGAAGATAAAAATAAGATTGTTATGAACTGAAATAACTGCAAATAATGGTGAAAAATATAAATAATTTTGAATTTTATAATTAACCTAGGGCTATTTTAGAATTTCAACATATAATTTGAAACTGTTGTAAAACAAAATTGTCTTCTGATGAAGGTAAAAAGTTTAGTTTGAACTTTGAGAGAAATCTTACAACCAACCGTTTTGAACTGACAACTTTATTATTTGGGAAATGAAGTAACGGCTATATATGGATTTACAGAAAATTATCCATTAGAAACATTAAATTTTGTCCAAAGTTATATAAGAGATGAAAAACTGATCAAAAAGATTAATCACGAGAGGAAATTTTAATCCTTACAGATATAAAAAAGCCCAGAAGTGATCTGGAAATAGGTGTATTTTTTTATTTCTAATCAGTTTTATTTGACCCATCTAAGTCCAATAATTTCTCTCAACAAAATAAGAATATAATTTGCCATTTCCAATAATCATTTTAACTATAATATACCAAGATTATACAACTTGGGACTTGGAAAGCGACAGCTTTATTACATAGGAGTTTTATTGACGAGGCACCAGTGTTTAGCAACGTGATGCCTCCTTGTTGTCAGTGCATAGTTACAATTTTCCAATTATCCGGGTTTAACCCAGTTCCTAGAGCACATGTTCAGAACTGATACTACTTACTTCCGGAAATGATGTTCAAAAGCTTTGTGATAAGTTTGATCTGGTTTTGTATGGAATATAGAGGCTCATTTTTTGAATTAGAAAGTTTTGTTTTAGAAATTACTTCTACTTGGACAAGGCGCTACTTGAAGATAAAAATATTAAAATTTCAATTTTTGTATGTGTAATGAATGAGAACTTCCGAATTATACCAAAATATTGGCTTTATTAGACAAAGAACTTGACATAACAAACTGATTAATGCAATGATTGGTGCAATGCAATTCTTTCATGTGGAGTGACATTCATTGCTATGCAGAGGAGAGATCTGATGCAATGTAATGATTCATCCAGAACAGATTCCCATCTGGACGCATTCAAGTTTTGCGATTTCAGCGCTAATTGAACTGTTCTCCAAATCGTACCATTCTCCCTCTCTATTTGCCCATTTCCTTCTGGATTGTAACTGGTAGTTCTACTGGTAGCTATTCCTCGCTCTTGCAAAAAGTTCTTCAATTCTGAAGACATGAAAGCAGATCCACGATCTGACTGTATAAAATTTGGCATTCCAAATAGTTGAAAAATACTTGTCAAGTGCTTCTTAACGGAAGCTGCTGAAACATCAGGACAGGGAAAAGCAAAAGGTAATCGGGAGTATTCATCAATTATAGTGAGTATAAATTTATTGTTTGTCGAACTTGGCAATGGTCCTTTAAAATCCATGGATAATCTTTCAAATGGAACTGCTGCTTTTATTAACGTTCTTTTATTTTTGAAAAATCGAGGCTTTACTTGTAAAGAGACTGAACAGTTGGTAATCATTTTCCTAATATCCTCAACTGAATACGGTAGATTTTTGCCACGGACCCAATGAATCATTCTTGTGACACCTGGATGAAATAAATACACTGTAGTGCAGATTTAACAGTTTCTGTTGTTCTTTAGTATTTATAACGGCACAAACCCTTGATAAAGCATCAGCCACTATGTTTTCTCTTCCTGGTCTATATACAATGTCATATTTGTAATAGGCCAATTCCAACCGCCATCGTATTTTATCATTTTTTATTTTTCCTGCATGCTCGTCATTAAACATAAAAGAAACAGAGCATTGATCTGTTATTAGTCCAAAAGGTCGTCCGATTAAATAATGTCTCCATTTCCGAAGCGATTCAACTATAGCATAGGCTTCCTTTTCGACTGACGAATGACGTTTCTCGCTTTCCATGGCATAGTCTGATGCGTCTGTTTCTACTGTGAATGTGAGATTTTCATCAATGGCAGTGACAACAGCTTTTGAAATATCTTCTTTCAGAGCTTTGAAAGTCGATAGAGCTTCTTGTGACATAGGAAATTATTGTGTTTGTACGAGTGGTCTGATTTTATCTGAAAATCTTGGAATCCATTTCGCATAATGGGAAAACATTTCCAATACTCGTTTTAATGAAGAATAATCTCCTGGTGGAGGCAATTCTAAGAATGGACGAAGTCGATCAGGATCAGGTTTGATTTGTTGATTTTCAATTTCATATCCTAGGAGATTTATTTTTACGTCTTTGATTTAGTAGAGTTTATAGTAAGTTTATACTTTTCAGCAACTGAAGAATTTTTGAAGATTTTTGTCATGCTCTTCTTGAGTCTTACCACCTACTGTGATATCATCAAGATAGGCATATGTGCCTTGAAGATTTTCTTTCTTGATTATACTGTCAACAACTCTTTGAAAACTAGCAACTCCATTGGTAATACCAAAAGGAATTCTCGTGAATTGATATAGTTCCCCGCACGCCTCAAACGCAGTATAAGGTTTTTCATGTTCGAGAATTGGAATTTGGTGATATGCACTCTTTAGATCTATAGCGCTGAAAACTTGGTACCTTGACACTTTTGAAATAATGTCTTCTATGTTTGGAAGTGGATATGCGTCTAATTCAGTGAATTTGTTTATAGTCTGGGCATAGTTGATTACCATTCGTCTCTTATGATTTGTACTGGAAGTGACTAAAGCTTGAGCTGTCCAAGGCGAATTACTCTTTTCAATGATACCTTCACAAAGCATTATCCGGACTTCTTGTTCCATAAATTTCAGGTCTTCTAGTGATTGTTTCTTAGATTTAATAGCTGCAAGTGTTATTAAGATTCGTGAATAGAGATGTAGGAGTAATATCTGCTTGCATCAAAACGCATACTTTCAAAGTATCCAGATTTCCATTGAATGACATCTCAAGCTTAGAATGATGATGTAGAAAATCGTGTCCCAATATAATATTTGATCAAAGATTTTTCATAACCAGTAATGTCAAGTTTTCATATGTACGGGTATTTGTTTCTATTAGTGACACAGTACTGAGCAAGAATTTGTGGAATATCAAGTTTCATAAACGCTTCCCTTCTTGAGCAACTCAACTTACTTCCTGTGTCAATAAGAACTTTAACTGGTTGTCCACAAATTTTTGCATCAATTGTAGCTTTTCCAAGTCCTGGTGTCGAAGCTGCAGTCTCGATAATTGCAGTAACGATGCAAGCTGACGTTGCCCTAGAGTCATGCTTTTTACTGTTACAAACTCTGGCAAAATGTCCTTTCTTGGAACATTTATGACAAGTAGCATCTGAAGCTGGACAAAGATATCTAGGATGACGGGATCCTCCACAAAACCAACATTTCGCTAGATTCTTGGTAGAAGTAGATAAGATTTGATTCGAATGATCTGACTTAGAATTTGAAGTATAATCAATTGAAGTGATAGATTTTTGTACGAAGCTTTGTGAGTGAATTTCAGCCATTTCTGAAGATTGAGCTTGATTATAAGCCTCATTGAGACTAAGGGTTGTATTTTCAAGCAATCGAGTGCGTATAGAGGAGTTGTTTAGGCCTTTAATAAAAGCATCCCTGATGTAGCCATTCTTATGATCTTCTGCAGTAACAGCTTGAAAATTACATTCAGTAGCTGAAAGGTTTATGGATTGTAGATATTGGTCTATAGATTCGGAAGCTTGTTGTTGAAGGGTCGCTAATATGTCTAGCATATACCTCATTTTTAGGTTGATGTACTGTGGATGGGAATAACATATCAAATGACAAACTTAAGCAACAATGATATACTGTTGAATACAAATCATTTTCACAACAGTATGGAGCCTCATGGATTTTTGCTACGACAGCTATAAATATAGTTTTTTTTGAGAAGTAGGTATTTAAAGAGAAAAAGTATCTTATTACCAGTCTGTTTTCCCCGATCTTTGAAAATCGTTCCTGAATATTTTTGTGAAATGTAAAGATCTGTTTTGACAGACATCACAAACTAGTCAGAGCGTTTTTGATTGGTGCAAATCTTCAAAAAACAATTTTCTGACTAATGAAATTCGCTTTGACTGGTTTGTGATTTCTATGAGAACAGACCTTAAGATGTCTTATTCAGAAATGAAAAACATTGTTGTGAAAAAGTTTATAAATTGAATCGTCATTTTCCATAGAATGATTGAAGATATTTATGTTGACTCATTCAAATATTTGATATTTCGACACAAAAGAATAACCACTTTATACCGACTATCCAACGGTTTCATCCAATAAACGAATTAGAAAACAGATATTTGGCAAACAATGTTCTGACAAAACAAGGAATCAGAAATAAATCCGGCGAATATTCGAGTGATACATTTCTCAAAATAACAGGCAACTGATGAGAAGAAAAACTAGCAAAATATCCTCCTATTTCAATTTCAAATATACCAAATATTGGACAAGTACCTATAACAAGCTTTAAAACTAAAATTAGTAACACAATTAATTTAAACAACGTGCACTTTGCACCCAATCGAATAAAGTGTATCGTAATCAAAACACGTAGGTAGCTGAAAATAATACGCCAACATTTTTAAATGTGAAAAACTCACGTTGAATTTAACGTGTCGTGTCCCGTTTTATTGGCAAAATATAACCTTATTATTCAGACCCTAAAGTCCACCGTTTGCAATTGGGTTGGAATTAATATGGCGTTTTATAAATAGAATTTCTAAAGATAACTCTTCTCCTTATTTCGTTATATAAAACCTGGAATTGACTTTTTTTTTTCTAATTGCTTATGCAGCTATTACTGTATTTATAATTAAAAAATTATTGATTTATTATTGGATATCTGGTAAAACTATCCAACTTGGTAGCTAGTTACACATAAAACGACTTTTTAATATATTGTACAATAATCAATCATCTTACGATACAAACAATTATTTATTTTATTCGAGTATAAGCAGATAACTGAACATCATTGAAATGAAAATTTTAAACAATCTATTTTACTTTTTAATTATTGTTTTTGTTATTTGCCCACCGAAGTGGTGCAAATGTGTAATTTTTAAATTATCATGGACCCTAACAATCTGGATCTACCTTATTTTAGCTATTTCTTGGAATGCCTATATACACCTATACTATATAAAACCTAGCGCCATATGGAGGGCCAAGGCCTTCCAAACATTCCTTATCCTTAACGATTTAATTAGTTGCCTTATACATTTCATAATAACTATAACAATTATTTTCAAATTCAAATCGATCAATGCTATTATAAAATGCTTGAAGCGTATGGACTGTCAATATCCGAAAATTATCATAATTTTTTGGCTGTTGATATCGTTTGCTGTTTCTATAGCAATTCACGGGACGGCAATAATTAAAAACATTGTATCCGAACTACCAGAATACTGGCATCAAGTCCGAATGAATTTCGTATGCCTTATTTTATTTGTTCTACTACAGGAAGCAAACAGGCAAGTGAAATTACTCAATAACGATTTGGCATTATGTATCAACATTACAAACTTGAAAGTACTTAGATGCAAATACAATATTATAGCGGATTTAGTTGACCACATCAATGAAGTTTTTGGAAAATGTATGGCAATGATTGTAGTGCTTTCAATGGCCGGTACTTGTCATTCACTGGTTTTCGATTTGGGAGATAATATTTTCTTTAAATTTATATACTATGTATATCTCTTAGTACGATTGATTATAAATGGTTACAAATTCTACTTCAAGTATGTTTTAGATTCACGTAATTTGTATTGCTAAAGCTGGAAATGCGTTGAAAAGCAAAACAGAACTTACACTCAATTTATGTTATAGACTGGGCAAAGATATCCCGTCGCTGCACCAAGATTTAATGTCGTTCGCTAATCAAGTGCATTTGAGAAACAACCAAGTGCGAGCAGGAGGATTTTTCTTACTGGATCATTCTTTGATCAGATTTATGTTCACCACTTGCTGTTCTTATTTGATTGTTTTGCTGCAGTTTTTTCAGAAACTTTAATGGAAGCGGCTGTGAATGTCACTGAGATTTAACAGAGCAATGGTTTGACAATCTAGACAAAGATAGTTGATTCTATAAATGCACTTGAGTATAGAAAGTTTTTGAAGATTTTTTTGAATATTTGCTTGATGAAACATTAGCTTCTGTATAATATATTCTCCTGGAAACACTATCAGAAAAGAAAGGACGAAATAGAAAAATTGAAAAAAAAATATATAATATCAAATTAAAATAAATGCATGTAATAAGTTATGAAAATGTATGTCGCAGCAATAAAACTGTAAATTAAATTATTTATCATTCTTTGGCAACCTCTAACAGAGGTTGACTATTTATCTACTTATAATATATTAACACAATTTCATAACAAATTACAAACAAATAGAAAACTAATTAGGTAACTTACCAATTAATATTACTCAAACTAATTACTATTATGATAATTAACAGTTAACTTTAAATGATAAAATACTCATATTTTGTTTCCAGATAAATATAAACTTTTAAAAAACACACGTCTTTACTATTCGCGAGCTGTGTATTTACTATTGAATCCTGCAACATGAGACGGGTCCTGTAAAGGATCTAGACAAAGAACAAACGATTGAAATGAACAGAGATGCAAGGCACACAAAACTGGGGGACTCACATTGTATGCAACGTGACTACAGGGATTTAGCCCTCGCATCCCACGAAATATAATGCTCTGGAATTTATTTATGGAATTGTAGGGCAATGTCGGGTTGATTTTGTTTTGTTCAAAACACTAGTGTTTTCAAGAAAAGGGTGTATTTTTACTCAGAGTGCACATGTCCTACGTTACCCGTGTTGCTTATTTCTGGCTGGTGCATTTGGTTTTGTTTAGCAGCCAAAAGGAAAACACTAGGAAGGTTTGTAGAAGAAAAAAAACTTTATCTCTTTGTGAAGGCGCCGGGACCGGAAGGCTTCAGTTAGACTCAAAGATTGGGGACAATGGGTTCATAGAGGGCTGCAAGATGGCTGCAAGGGCCTGGACTGATACTATCAGACAGGACCCCCATAACACCAGCAAGGATGCAATGCCTGTCAGGTATGCAACAATGCAACCAGTGAAATACGAAAAGTCAGATTGAGTTTTGTCAGATAATAGTCAAGTTGTGTTGTAATTTCAATAGTTCTTTTAGCTAATAGATAGCTACGAAACAAAGTATATTTATCTAATTAGGATATACTTGGAGGGCTCACTTTAGATCTCAAGAACAACACTAAATTAACATGGCGCAGTCGGTACAGGACTCGGTACAGAAGGCTGAAAGATAAGTAAAAAAAAATTATAAGATAAGTAAAATCACCGCGTACCCCAGAAGTAAGATTGAGAAATAATTTATCAAGGTAAGAAACCTGAAAAATAAAATAAAATAAGTATAATTCAGATAATACAATGGGTGATAGACCAATGCCGTGGAAATAGTCCAATGCGGATGCAAGGAAATGTGGCAGAAAATTGGCAAATGTGGCGAAGCAGATTCGAGAATTATCTCAAAGCTTCTGAGGTAACTAAAAAGCCTGAGGAGGTACAGTGTGCGCAGATATTGCACTATGTAGGCAAAGAAGGTTTTTGAAATATTTAATACTTTCACACTTGCAGATGTGGGAAAAGATAAATTGCAGCCCCTTTCAAATAAATTTGAGGCTCATTTTAGGCCAAAAGTCAATCTTTCATATGAAAGATATATCTTTTTCACACGTAGACAACAGTCAGGTCATACTCTTGAGCAATTTATTATATCCCTGAAAGAGCAGGCACAAAAATGTAAATGTGATCACCTGGAGGACGGTTCGAAAATATGATCATTTGTGGTGTTCGGAGCAATGAACTAAGGGAAAAACTTCTACAAAATGACACCTTATCACTGGAGCAATGCAAAATTTTGGAAATTGCCAAGGAGCAGAGTAAGGAAGTGTACCCCGGGACAGAAGATAAGCAAGAGGTTAATGCAGTTTACAACAGGAGAGAACAGCAAAACAAGGGACAAATGCCGAGTAAACAACATGGGTTTATAAATAAATAATAAAAATTATGCAGGTATAAAGATTATTTCTTGTAGGTACTAAATGTGGGAAAACACAATTTGGTGGTAAAACGCTTAGTGCAACACGTAGTTTCTTATAAGATACATTCCTAATGTTGTAGTTAGCCTTTTTGGATCGATTTCAATATAAAAATATGCGGATTATATTAGCTTTCAAGAAAAATTTATAAATTAAAGTGGTTCAATTTAAAGGTGTGTTAGGTTGGGTTAGTTTGCAAAGGACTAGTACGCATTACGTGGACGGGTTAGCTTGGGTTAGTTTGCATATTTTTGGTTAGTTTTGGTTACAGTTCGTATCTACTGGTTATAAGTGTACTGATTGAGAACACAGTGCGCGAAGCGGGCTTTGTTTTTTAAATTGGTATGATTAGGGCTCTCGGGAACAGGGTAGAACGCATACTCCGATTGAGTTCATTTTTGGTATACATATAAAGGCCGCTGAAAGAAATTTTTCCAAGAAAAAATTGACCTTAGCCGCGACCTTGACCGTGACCTTGACCATTGAAATTCACATAAATATCAATTTATCGTGCTGAAATTATGTATAGCGCCGAAGAGCATCATAAATAACCCACACACGGAGTTTTAGCCTTCAAAGTCATACATATTCAGAGATACGGCAACCCGCATTCTCAGTTTGGGCTCTCGGGAATGGGCTAGAAGGCCTAGTCCAATCGAGTTCATTTTTGGTATACATATAAAGGCCGCTGAAAGAAATTTCCCCAAAAAAAAATTGACCCTGGCCGTTGGCCGTGAACTTGACCGTGACCTTCACCAGTGAAATTCACGTAAATATCTATTTATCGTGCTGAAATTATGTACAGGGTGGGCGAATTTGGACACTTTTAATAGGAAACATCATGATATTGAATATTAATTACTTATCTAAAACTGGATACAGTGTACTGATTAACAACGACAACCAAGCGCGACAAGCTAGAGAAAATAAAAATGTTCAAGGATACTAGCATGCATTTCAAGAATGGGTTGATTTGGGTTGTTTTGCATTATTTTGTAATTCTCGATTAGATAGGTTTACGGGGACTAGCACGCAGTACAAAGACGGGTAAGTTCGGGCTAGTTTGCATATTTTTGATCAGTTTCGATATAGCACAGTTATTGTCGGTTAAAGTGTACCAATTTCAAAAGTTCAGTAGATATTATACGCTTTATCATTACTCAATAATGTTTTTTTCAAAAAATGGTTTAAACACTTAGCTCTTCTCTTCATTCGAATATCTACCACATGATGCTTTTTACGTTTATTAAATTTGTATCTGCTAAACAGAGCGATTGTGATATTAAGCTGATAAGAATAGATATTATATATTAATCTGTGTCAAACGTCAAGAAGAGGATTCATTCAATATTTATAAAATCCAATTTATAGTTATTTGCGCCAACATTTTCGATCATAAAACAATATTTTGGGATCAAACTAAACTATCTATCATGAAGAAGCATGATATTTTTTTTGAAGGACCTTTACTGAACTGTTACCTTTTACGGCCTAAATATGTATACCAAAAATAAACTCAATCGGACTACGCCTTCTACCCTGTTCCCGAGAGCCCAAACTGAGAATGCGGAGTTGCCGTATCTCTGAATGTGTATGACCTTGAAGGCTAAAACTCGGTATATAGGTTACTTGAGATGCCTTTCAACACTATACAAGTTTTCAGCACGTTAAACTGCCATTTACGTGAATTTGATGGTCAAGGTCAGGATCAAGGTCACAGTCAAGGTCAAATTTTTTTTGGAAAAATTTCTTTCGACGTCCTATATATGTGTACCAAAAATGAACTTGATCAGAAAACGCCCTATAGCCCGTTCCCGAGAGCCCACCTTTACCTCCCTTTAAATTCAATATCAACATACAAGGACTCGCACGCATTACGTGGACGGGTTAGTTTGGGTTAGTTTGCATACTTTTGGTTAGTTTGAGTTACAGTTCGTTCAATATCTACTGGTTATAATATCTACTGGTTTAATATATATTGGTTATGTGTGTAAGTAATTGTGAATGTGAATATTCGCTTACTACGGCAAAAAACGTCAATATCCGCACTTAAATTGATACAAAACCAACTGTATAAAGGATATATCAACTAATTTTTATAGAAAATTTGTTAATTTTTGTTGCACTAAAGCGTTTTACACCCCACAAATTTAAATTATTGTCCTTGCCATAAGCCAAGATTTGCCTAAAATGCAAAAAGAAAAATAATTTTTCTGTAGTGTGTAGAAACTCCACATCTGTACAAGAAATAAGACAGGACAATGAAATTAATTCAATTGACAAAACAGTTGTTCATGCCACAAGGAGGGTTGCACTTCCTTTGTTGCCCAAATTAAAATAAAGCCTAATTGATCTTGAAAAACAAAAAATAATTGAAAAAGTGGAGGGAGCAACTGACTGGGTTAATGCATTGGTAATCGCACGTAAACCAAATCGAAGTCAAAAATCTGTTTAGATCTGAAAGATTTGAATAACTGTATAAAACGAGAACAGTGTTTAATCCCAACACTAGGAGAAATAACTGCGAAAGTGGCGGGGGCAAAGATACAGCATCGGATGCCATTTGTGGCTTCTACCAAATTGTTTTGGATAAAGAAAGTACAAATCTTTGTGTTTTTGGCACCCCATTTGGCAGATACAAGTTTTTAAGGCTACCATATGGTATAAAATCAGCACCTGAAGTATTTCAGCATAATTTTAGGGAAATATTCCAGGGTTGTGAAGGTACAGGAATATATATATTGATGATTTGATAGTCTTTGGTAAAGACAAGAAACAACATGACTGTAGGTTGAAAAAAGTTTTTTAGAGACAGTAAAAAATAAATAATGTGAAATTCAACAGAGGCGGGTGCCTTCAAAAAGTGGGGGAGCTAAAAAGAGCCGGATGCGAAATTTTTTTTTCGGGTGCCACGCTCAAAAACGATTACTTTGAGCTTTAAAAATAAAGGACCTCGAACAAACCTTATGGAACATAGCTTTCTGTCAAATTGGCTGATTTTTTGAAACTGGGTAGATTTCGATATTCTGATTAAAAGTGATCATTGCGCAAAAATGATTCCATGCACAGTTTTTGTGTAAATTGGCTCAAAAGATGGCATTGGAAACGCATGTAGCCTAATAGGTAGGTACTCACCGCTATCAATCGGTATACTGAAATAGCCAAACTGTGGACTAGCGATGTTGAAGACTAGGACTATAGAAATACATTTTTTTTTCTCACAGTTTGCCTATTTTAGTATCGATTGATAGCGTTAAGCACCTACCTATCAAGTTACATGCGTTTCCATTCCTTTTTCAGACTATTTATTCAAAAACTGTAGGTACGTGGAATCATTTTTGCGCAATGATAACTTTTAATCAGAATATCGAAATAATCTAGCCAATTTCAAAAAATTAGCTAATTTGACAGAAAGGCATATTCCATAAGGTTTGTGCGGGGTCCCTGTACGAACTAGCTATTTCGCGCACTAGTGTGCGAAATAGCTAGTACGCGCACGGCGTCATGGGAACGTTAAAAAATCTATACCTGGAAAAAAAAGTGTCACTTCGCAAACTGTCATGAGTGTGCGAACATCATCATTTTTTGACAGTTGTAGAAAATAGTTAATTCATCTCGCCTCAGTCAATAAATGCAAAGGAAATGATTAACCTTAGTACAGTGTATTTACTAAGGTTGGCTCACAGGCCTCCTCACGGATCACCGCTCTATGGGCTACCACCTGGAAAAGATGGGCAAAACAAAATCAGCCTCTGAGTGTGTGGGCATTGTGCCGCAGAATTCTCATCCATTTGGAGTAGCCCTAATTAACGGCTGTGGATGTGTGCCAAAAGCCTTGAGCCCGGTTTATTCATCTTCAGATAAACTTGCTGGTAACTATCTGCAAGATAAATCTACCGTTCTATAATTCTGTTAGTCGGCTTATAACTGACAGACTAATGGGATTACTTACTGATTGTGTTTTTATCCGTCAGATTCCATACCTGACAGGTTATCAGAAGGTGAATAAACCGACCCTTATAATCTGGAAACCCACTAGATATAAAAGTGGCACTTTTAATAATAAAATAAACATATTACACCTCTATGATTTTTGCAATACCTATCTAATATTTTCTAATAATAGGTAGGTATGTACTAATATAGATATAGATTTTTGCCATAACTAATAATTTCCTTACTTTGTCTGAGATCCTTAGGAATGAAAATATTTACGACGCTACTGAGAATTCGGGTATTCACTATTCAGGCAAATTTTGCCTGATAACTTCACAATTACAGCTAAAAATAAACGGATGAGGTAGGTATTAGCACGTATTAGGTATGTGTGTATCAATAGTAGATTATACCACGAGTCAATAATGATAGCTATTATTCCCGAGGATTATTTTACGAACTGAGCCGCGTTAGCGGCGAGGGAGTAACATTCCGAGGGAATAATAGCCATTATTGCGAGTAGTATACTCTACTTTATTTACGACAAATTAATTTATTTGAGATTTTCAATGAACAAATTTTATCCGTCTCATAATTTTCAATACAAATCCACAAGCACTACACGTTTGACACTGACATTTTTGTGGAATAATGACCATTAATCCCGCTAATCGTCATTAATCCCTGGAGGAATAACATATGTCATTATACTGCCAAAATCACAAATATAATACGCACATTATACATTAGTCGTAAATAAAACATTTTTATTGACTCCTAACCACCAACTATAGGTACAATGTAGGTATGTAGATAGGTACAATGACAATCAAATACCTACATATATGGATGGATGATTTATTACATCATTGAAAAAATTAGAAATATGTTATTTTTTTAAAGACAAAAGAAATTTAATGTGAGTGAATAGGTATATGAATTCAAGTCGTAGTTCTCAAGTAAGATAACTAAAAGATACTTTATCCTTGAACCAACAAATTCTACATAATTACATACCTACTTCACTTTTTCTATCTCAAATTTCTATGCATATTTTGACCATATCAAAACAAACTAAGTACTTACTAATCCAAATTCTTATTTCAATTTTGAAAAATCAACTTGAAAAGTTTTTAAATGGAACTTTGAGCAAAAATTAAAATTGGCTCTCGATCAGCTGATTGTACTTATTTGCAACTTTTCATAAATTACCATATTTTGCAGATTCGTGATAAGACATACATTTCTGCTATTTGAAGCCTTGGGAAACGGAACATTAAAAATCAAGAAATTTGAAAATTTCCCGGTTAGATTTGATTTAACGAATTACGTATCAAGCTCTGAGGGAGGAGTATTTGGGAATTAGGCAGATGGGTATAATCGTTAATTGATATGTTACAGATTTTATTTCCTACTGAACTATTATAACCATATAATACCTTGGTTACGATAATCATAAACAGGGTCTTAACTCCCAAGGGAGTTAAGGATTTCCATAACTCCCGCTTTCACCTTGAATAGGTGAAACTTTGACAAAAAATAGAAATTTTGGTTTATGGTTTATTTCTTTATGAAAATGGACAAAATGCAGTAGGAAATAAAATTATTTATGTTTCACGGGAATTATTAGGTGCTAATACCCACGGGCAATTATTGGTGTCCCTCGGGACACAAACTTTGCCCTGGATTAACACCTTCATAATTCCCTTGATACATAAATAACTATTATTTCCCATTTTTTTATCTGAAACTTATACCACATGCATGTACCTACTTCAGTTTATCCAAAAATCAATTATAAATTTTGTTTAATTAATCTCTTATTTCAAAAGGCAAATATTGTTATTTTTTAGATTTTATTTTTTGGGAAATGCAATAATGCAACAAAATAAAGTGAATAGTCATAGGTAGGTAGGTAGGTAGGTAGGTACCTACTTACTTATCTTGTGAATAGTACGTAAGTATGTACCTATAACTCGATAAGTTATTTCAAAAAAAAAAATAAAACACAAACAAGTACATAATACAATATAATATAGATGCATTTATTCCTTGAAAATTGACAATTCAATTGTGATTAATTCATTAGATACAAAGTAAGTATAGGTATTGAAATTTTTACGGTGTTGGCATGAATAAAGCAGCCATACAGGCAGCTTCACATACTCCAAAAGCCGCGTTACACGCGGCTAATGCTGGAGTTGCTGCGATAACAGCTCCTGGAACAGTTCCGAATGTAAATCCAGCAGCTGCAAAACAAGCCACTGTAACTGCGGCGCAGCCTGCATAGCAAACTCCAGCTGCAGCAGGCCCAGCTTCGGCTGAGGTGCTGCACATGTAAAACAGCAAGATGGTGAATAAAGCTGTTTTAATTACCATGGTGGTGGCCATCATTAATTAGCTCTTGAAAATGGTGGCCTGGTTTAAACACTTAGCTTACAGCTTACTGTAATTTATAGAAAATTATATTACAAAAATAAATTTCACTTTGATTTACTCACAATCAGTTTTCTCAAGGTTGTCTGCCTGCACAAAACACTACTACTTTCTTTCACAGCTGCGTCGAGTGTCGGGTGAATGCTGGCCACCGAGAAATAAAGCAGCGCATTTAAAGCCGCCGAGTTATTCACTTAAATAAATCGGGGGAATCCCCTAAACCGATAGAGCAAAGTTGTGTTAAATATGTCTAATGTGAAAACGTCGACATTTTCAATACGAATTTATTAGGGAGATATCGTAAGCTGAATTATTAACGACTGTGTCGGTTACTTCGGTATTTCTTTTTTGTACCTTTTAAGAATTCACGTTGGGTATTTCATATTTGAGATGTTTTACTGTGTTTTATGTTTGGTTTTGATAGGTATATGATATAAGATTCATAGTTTCTTTCCTTGTATTGCTCATTACGATTGCCTGACATGATCATTTTGTTATGAATCGTATGTTAATAGACTATTGACAAAATCTTCCAATGATTGGTATATCTCTGTAAAGAAAATAAATGTCTTACAGTACTAAAAAAATTCCAAAAACCATAATATAGGTACAAGAAATAGACAATAATAAAAATGCCTCAAAACAAATTTGCAGGACTTCTGTTTTTAGAGGAATACCTAAAGTCAATAAGTGTGTATCTTTATATAGATATTTCTTCCACAAATATTTCCAATACTTCAACTATAGAAAACTATTAAAAGCAAATTAAATTACCTAATCAAAAACAAAACCTGTAGAAATTATACTGGGAATGTCAATATAAAGGATGTTCGGAAAATAACGCACTGCATGAGGATTGTCGATATCCCTCTATTTCAGCCTCCTACAGTTAACAAGCCATGAAATTGAAAAGGCAACACCGCAATCTTACCGGCAAGTGGTGCTGGTGCTGTTTGTTTTTATAAATATATATTTTTTATTTTGTTAAAATCAATGACAAAAAATGCATAATTTATTGTACTAAAGGGCCAAAAACAGTAATTCAATGAATAATTTAACTATTTGTGTAAATAAGAACAGTAAATAATTGATTTAAATGAATATGTTTCTAGAGTCTAAAGTGTTATAGGCCTATGTTTCAGTATGTCTTTTGAAAATCTAACTTTTTCTTTCTTCGGGATTTTTTCGGAAGGCAGGTCCATTCAAATACTTGAGCTGATTTTCGTACTTTAAAGAGTTGAACGTTTTAGTTTGAACTCTCGAATTACTCCTTCATGCTTGTTTGTTTCAAAACTATTTTTTTCGGTTTCTTCAAAATGTTTACAACACACCACAGAATTTTTCGTTATGGTATAATCTCGGGTATAAATATCTTGTCTTCATTCACAACTTCTGTAATTCAGATTTTTTTTGGAAATGTTTGCATTTCTTCAGTTTTTAAGGAACTCCTATAGTTCGATTTGCACCCAGGAACACAGTAGCTTCAAGGCATCTGGAACAAGTTTGAATATCTTAGGTAATATATGGAGACCTATGCTCTTGCACACAAAAATTAATATTGTTTTTATTGATTTACCTTACCTTTCCTTCATTTTTGCTCCCTGTACCCATTTGGTAAAAATTTGCAATCAAAGCACAAAGGAACAGGTATCAACTAAATATGGGCAATATATGGGTGTGTTTCTATCCACTTTTTCGTCAATAATACCCACAAAAATACTAAACTCCACCAATACACAATGAACGCAATACACAGAAACACATAACCTCGATAACAAAATAGCACCATACGCGACGTTGCCGTCATTTCCAACTTCATGGCTTGTAAGTGTAGGAGGCTGTGGTGGGAGCATACCCAAATAGAACATAAACCGGTCTAGCAAATCCACGCGTGTCGAATACTCTGGCCAGTGGCGTGTTGTATTATTTTCGAAGATCATAATAAAGCGGTAAAACTTGGGTAGGATGAATTCAAATAATCTGATTTTTTTTCTTTCAATTTCTGACTCCAAGATTTTTTAAAAAATTAACCAACCATACTTTTATGTAGTACATCAAATACACTTTCGTTACAGATAAATTATATACCTAATTTTAATTGAGTGCAAGAGGTCCATTGCATTTTCATTTCTCCGTATTATCGCAAATAGACAACTATTACCAAATAGCACGCCTAAATTTGATATATATACGATATTAGGTACATGTACTCCTAAATACTATGTTCCCGGATTGAAATCATCCAGTCTCATAAGTCATAACTGCAGGATAATGCCTCTGGACATGGTTATATATTAATTCGTCCAATAGCGATGTCGGCTAGATTTTCTAAGTAGATATGTAACTATGTTTACTTATTACTTTTTCCGAATTTGAATTTACTTTTTCCGAATTTGAATTTACCGTTTCCGAAATTAACTTTACTTTTTCCGAAATTAACTTTACTTTTTCTGAAATTAATTGGACTTTTTCCGAAAATCACTTTACATTTTCCTAAATAAAAGTTACTTTTTCCGAAATTGAGGTTGAAATAGTGTAGAAACACATACATTTTCATGCAAGGGACGCAAAGTTAGGTGAACACAATTACTTATTTTTATTAAATGAATTGCATGTTTTACTTTTACCTAAAATATATTTTGGTGTGTTGTCTTTATGGACAACAACAACAATTATTACTTAGAACTGATACCTATTAAACAAAAAATTTTTTATAGTATTTTTAATTTGAATTGAAACACTAAAAAAAATCTAAGCCATTTTCTCGCGTCCACTTTTTTCACATTGGTTCAAAACCAGAGTTTGAAACAGTCAGTGGAAACACCATTGCCCATTGCCCGTTTCAAACCTATTTTGAACCAATGTCAAAAAAGTGAACGCGAGAAAACGGTTTATGCCCGATTCCACCGTCTCTCTTAACCGAGGCTTAAAGATAACTATTCCTTAAAGTGACATTTTCTCATGCAAAACTGTCAATTTAAGGGATAGTTATCGTTAAGCCTCAGTTAAGAGAGACGGTGCAATCGGGCATTAGATGTTTTTTAGGTTTCTCAATTCAAATTAAAAATACTATACCTACTAGTTTAAAAATATAAAGAACACCATATAGATCTGAAATTGGAAATATGGCACTATAATATTGCCTCCAAACGTTTTAATCAATTACTTAGATACTAATATATTTTTTTTGAAATCCGCTGTAATGATCTGCAATTTATATTTAAATGCTGTCATAAGTGTGAGACTAAAAATAACTATTAACTATCCATGGTTTTACAACTATGTATAATTTCAACAACAGTACATAATGTGCAAACAAAAATTATGGCGTCTTTACTTAGTTATATTCATGAATAACAGTTTAAATTATATTATGAATAACACTTTTTATTCATTAGGTATTAACTTCACAGGATCACCTCACTGTATATCTCATTTTCCTTACATTGAAGATATACATATATAGGGAGACCTCGGTAGAGACTTAATTTTCTAAGTAAATTTGAATGATAGAATCTTATAGGCTAGGTAGGTATATTATCATATCAATATTTAAGTTGAAATTCTTCAGATTTCAAATTTCTTTCTATGCTGATGTCCCTTGGTCTATAAACTCTCTAGAAACTAGAGTTACTACTCTGTGATCTGCTTAGATCATAATTCCTTAAAAATATGATGGAAAAGCAATTGGGAATTTTCCAAATTTGAGGATAGACTCATTTCTAAATTAATAGAACATGAACCTACTTCACTTTATCTCCCAAATTGATTATAGATTTTGCTTAATAATTCTAGTTTCAACAGGCAAATATGGATATTTTTCAGATTTAATTTTTTGGGAAATGCTTAATGCAACAAAATAAAGTAAGTGGTTATAGGTAGGTATCTACTTTATCTGGAAATAATTTTATTTTGTAGAAATTAAAAATTCTTACTACGTAAGAACCTATGAGTCGAGTTTTTTGAATGAAAAAAAAAATGAAACACAAACAAGTACCTACATAATACAATATATTGATGTATTTATTTCTTTAAATTCACAATCCAATTGATGATTAATTCATTACAATAAGTAGGTAGGTATTGACATAAACCTAACTACTACGAAATAGTAGTAGTTAGGTCTCTAGGGTATTGAAATGTTTAAGGTGTTGGTATGAATAACGCAGCCATATAGGCAGCTTCGCATACTGCAAAAGCTGCGTTACAGGCAGCTAATGCTGGCGTAGCTGCTATAACAGCTCCTGGAACAGTTCCGAAAGTAAATCCAGCAGCTGCAAAACAAGCCACTGCAACTGCTGCACAATTTGCATATGCAGGATATGCAATATAGGGAACTTCCGCTGCAGCAAGTCCATCTTCGGCTGAGGTGGTCGTGCTGCACATGTAAAATAGCAAGATGGTAAATAAAGCTGTTTTAGTTACCGTGGTGGTGGCCATCATTGATAAGCTCTTCAAAAATGGTGGCCCGGTCTAATCGCTTAGCTCACAGCTTACTGTTATTAATAGAAAATGATCATATTAGAAAAATAAATTTCACGATAATTTACTTACAATCAGTATTCTCAAGGTTTAGGGCTGCCTGAACAAAACACTACTACTTCCATACACAGCTGTCGGGTCAGTGCTAGAAATAGAGCCGCGCTTTTAAAGCAGTCGAGTCATTCACTTAAATAAATCGGGGGAATCTCCCAAACCACCAATAAACTTTTAGCACCTTTATCAACAAAAATATTTCATATTATTGAAAATTTGACAATCCTGGTTTATTCAGAGGTTGCATTGGGTTAATAGAGACCCAAATATACCAAGACACAATTTATTTAGAAAAAGTGGACATAGCAGCTTTATCAACTCATGTCTTCATTTATTGACTCCTATACCAACTACACTGTTGAGAGGTGCAATGACAATCAAAATACCTACGTATATGGATGGATGATTTATTAGGGACCTACTTATTACATCAGTGAGAAATTAGAAATATGTTATTTTTTTAAAGACAAAAGAAATTTAATGTAAGTGAGTATATGAATTCAAGTCGTAGTTCTCAAGTAAGATAACGAATATACAGGGTTAGTAAAAAGTACTGCAACACTTAAATATCTCCAAAACTGCTTAAGCTGCGTTCACACAATTTGGAATCTGACAGTTTTCAGGCATGCGTAATTCAACAGTGCTATTGGCAATGTTGCCAGATTTCCCAGTTTTGCGCTACACGTAGTCTTTTTGTTATCTTAAATAAAATGTCCCATTTATTTTTATTGCAGTGAATTGGGCGTGCCAAATTTGATAAGACTCCAAATTTTCAGAATTCTATCTCTACTAGTTGTTGAAATATGACAACACCGTATTTTCGGTGAAAAGTATCGCAACGCTTGAATATCTTCAAACGCTGCTTGAGCTCGTTCACGAAATTTGGTATCCGGGGGTTTTTGAGCAAGTGAAATTTAACCGTGATATCGGCATTGTTGCCAGATTTCCCAGTTTTGCCCTACAAATAATCTTTTTGCTATCGCGAATAGAATGCCCCATTTATTTTTATAGCAATAAATTGGACGTGTCAAATTTGATAAGATTTCAAATTTTCAGATTTCTATCTCCACTAGTTGCTGAAATATGCCAACACCGCATTTTCAGTGAACGGTATCGCAACGCTTGAATATCTTTTAAAACTTAAGCGGGTTTTGAAAACCCGCTTAAGCTCGTCCACTAAATTCGGTATCTGGGGATTTATAGGCAAGCGAAATTCAACTGTGATATCGGCATTGTTGCCAAGTTTCCCAGTTTCGAGCTACACATAGTCTTGCTCGTGGTTTATGGTTTTTTTTTCTTTCAATAATACACGTTACTTGCTCATGAGGTATTCATATTTCCGGGCGTTTCCGATAAGTTTGCGGCTCCTCCTGAAATAGGTAGGTAACTATTCCAAAATGATTATCCTTATAGTGGTATTTAACAGTAGCATATTGAAAATTTGGAATCTCATCAAAATTTGAACTAATTTATTGCAATAAAAATAAATTTATTCAAGATAACAAAAACACTACGTGTAGTGCGAAACTGGGCAACTTGGCAACAATGCCGATATTACAGTTGAATTTCGCTTGCCTATAAATTCTCAGATAGGTACCGAATTTAGTAGACGAGCTCAAGCGGGTTTTAAAGATATTCGAGCGTTGGTAAACCGTTCACTGAGAATGCGGTGTTGGCATATTTCAGCAACTAGTAGAGATAGAATACTGAAAATTTGGAATCTTATTAATTTTGGCACGTCCAATTTATTGCAATAAAAATAAATGGGGCATTCTATTCAAGATTACAAAAAGACTACGTGTAGCGCAAAACTGAAAAGTCTGGCAACAATGCCGATATCACGGTTGAATTTTGCTTGCCCAAAAACTCAAGGCAATTGAAGATATTCGAGCGTTGCTATACTTTTCACTGAAAATACGGTGTTATCATATTTCAGCAACTAGTAGAGATAGAATTCTGAAAGTTTGGAATCTTATCAAATTTGGCGCGCCCAATTCATTGCGATAAAAATAAATGTGGCATTCTATTTCAGATAACAAAAAGACTACGTGTAGCACAAAACTGGGAAATCTGGCAACATTGCCAATAGCACTGTTGAATTCCGCATGTCTGAAAACTGTCAGATTCCGAATTGTGTGAACGCGGCTTAAGCAGTTTCGAAGATATGTAAGTGTTGCAGTACTTTTTCTTAACCCTGTATACTTACTTTATCCTTGAATCAACAAATTCTACATAATTCCTTCTTCACTTTCTTTATCTCAAATTTCTATGTATATTTTGACCATATCAAAAACAAATTATTTTCTAATCTAAATTCCTATTTTAATTTTGAAGAACCACCTTGAAAAGTTTCCAAATGAATTTTTGAGCAAAAATTTAAATTGGCTTTCGAGCCTCTCGATTAGCTGATTGTACTTTATTTGCAACTTTACATAACAATTAGCATATTTTGCAGATTCGAGATAAGACAAAAATTTCTGCTATGTGGAAACCTTGGGAAACGAAACATTGAGTAGAAATTTGAAAATTTCTCAGTTAGATTTGATTTAACAAATTACGTATCAAGCTCTCAGATGTATTTATGGGAATTAGGCAGATGGGTATAATCGTTAATTGATTGATATGTTACAGATCTAAAAGATTTTATTTCGCATTTTTTTATCTGAAACTTATACCACATGCATGTACTTCAGTTTATCCCAAAAATCAATTATAAATTTTGCCTAATTAAATCTCTAATTTCAAAAGGCAAATATTGTTATTTTTTAGATTTCATTTTTTGGGAAATGCAATAATGCAACAAAATAAAAGTGAATAGTCATAGTCATAAGTAGAGGTACCTACTTACTTATCTTGTAAATAGTACGTAAGTAGGTATGTACCTACTACGTACCTATAGCTCGATAAGTTATTTCAAAAAAATGAAACACAAACAAGTACATAATACAATATATAGATGTATTTATTCGTTGAAAATTGACAATTCAATTGTGATTAATTCATTAAAAATAAAGTAAGAAGAGGTATTGAAATTTTTACGGTGTTGGCATGAATAAAGCAGCCATACAGCCAGCTTCGCATACTCCAAAAGCCGCGTTACACGCGGCTAATGCTGGCGTTGCTGCGATAAGAGCTCCTGGAACTGTTCCGAATGTAAATCCAGCAGCTGCAAAACATGCCACTGTAACTGCGGCGCAGCCTGCATAGCAAACTCCAGCTGCAGCAGGCCCAGCATCGGCTGAGGTGCTGCACATGTAAAACAGCAAGATGGTGAATAAAGCTGCTTTAGTTACCATGGTGGTGGCCATCATTAATTAGCTCTTGAAAATGGTGGCCTAATTTAAACGCTTAGCTTACAGCTTACTGTAATTTATAAAAAATTATATTACAAATATAAATTTTACTTTGATTTATAGTTTATACGAAGTCAATACGAACAGCATAAAAAAAAATAGCCGACTGGAACAGGCCCTCTATAAGAATGTGTAGTTGAGTTTAAACAACAAAATATTCATACGGGGTCTAGTCATCACAAAATTGGGTATTTTTATGGACATATATTGATAATTTAAGCTTTTATTCAACTGTTCGGATTGACTTTGTATAAACTTTACTTACAATCAGTTTTCTCAAGGTTTAGGTCTGCCTGCACAAAACACTACCTACTACTTTCTTTCACAGCTGTCGGGTCAATGCTGGCCACAGAAATAAAACAGCGCATTTAAAGCAGTCAAGTAATTCACTCAAATACATCGGGGGAATCCCCTAAACCGATAGGGCAAAGTTGTGTAAATATCTAATATGAAAACGTCGGCATTTTCGATACGAATTTATTAGGGAGATATCGTAAGCTGAATTATTAACGACTGTGTCGGTTACTCTCGGTATTTATTTTTTGTAGGTACCATTTATAAGAATTCATCGTAGGTACCTATTTCATATTTGAGATGTTTTACTTTGTTTTATGCTTGGTTTTGACAATATATATGATATAAGATTCATAGTCTCTTTCGTTGTATTGGTCATTGCCCTGACATGGGCATTTTGTTATGAAACGAATGTTAATAAACAACATATTGACAAAATCCTCCAATGGTTGGTATATCTCTATAAAGAAAATAGAAATAAATGTGTAACAGTAGTAAGAGAATTCAAAAAACGACATACCTAATATAGACAAGAAATAGACAAAAATGAAAATGCCCCAAAATAAATTTGCAGGATTTCTGTTTTTAGAGTCAATAGTGTATCTTTATCTTTAAAAATATTTCTTCCACAAATATTTCCTTCAACTATAGAAAACTAAAAAGCAAATTGAATTACCCAATCAAAAAAAAAATATTCGAAAATAACGTACTTCATGAGGATTACCGATATCTCACTATTTTAGCCTATTGGGTGGGAGCTTAGATACCCAAATAGAACAAAAATCCCTGTCTAGCAAAACCACGCGTGTAAGATACTCTGGTCAGTGGCGTGTTGTATTATTCTCGAAGATCATAATTAAAACGTTGAAACTTGGGTAGGGTGAAGATGAATAATAGGGTAGTGGACAATTTTTTGAAATATTTTTTTTAATAATCTCCATAACAAAATAAATAGTAGTTGATGATTCTTTGATTTTAGAAAACAAAAATATACTTAAAAAAAAATAAACAAATTTGTACTTATTTTAAACGCTATAATTTACCGCCCGGAAATTACGTCATAGCTGTTATGTCTTATAGCGTCAAGGCATTCCGACATTAATAAGAGTGGGCGAGAGCACGGTCAGTGCGTCCTTATATTTTACATGCTTCTAGAAAAAGATGCAGATAAGCTCAGTGCGCATTGATTGACAAATGGAAATCTCTCAAAAAGTGGGGTTAGTTGAGGGTGCGCCTAGATGTAATGACACACAGACGCTGATATATTTCTCTTTTTTGCACTAATGAGTAAGTGTGTGTCGAATATAGGATGAAGGTTTGATTGATTTCATACTCAAATACAACAGCTATGACGTGCGAAATATTTTCGTTTAAATAGTCCGTCCAAAAACTCTACTTTTGCAATCGTTTTAAACAAAGTTAGCAATTTTTTCTGAAATTTCTTTCAAAAGGAATATTTTTCATTTACTCCATAGATGAACAATAGATCATCGATTTCATTGAAATTATACCTTGTCCACTACCCTATTGCATTTTCATTTCTCCGTATTATTGCAAATATACAACTATCACCAAACAGCACGCCTAAATTTGATACACATATAGGTACATACTGGACTGGAAACACATACATTTTCATGCAAGGGACGCAAGGTTAGGAAAACACGATGGGAAAACACAATTATTTTATTATATAAATTGCATGTTTTACTTTTACCTAAAATTTATATATTTTGGTGTGTTGTCGCCCACTAAGCAATGTAATATTGCTTTAATATTTTAGTAATGTTTCTAGGTAGGTAATATTGTAATATTTCATTTTTTATTGCTGCTATATAAGTGCAAGGTTGCTGCAATTACTGAAACGGACTTATTTCAATATTCACAAATGCAATGTTTACAAAATAAACTTTTCTGCAATATCGCCTCAATCTTGTATTTTCATAAAAAAATAATTACGTTTGTAACATTCAAAATGCGAGGTTAGGTAAATGATACAGTTGCAATATTTTTATTGGTACTCTACAGAAATTTACATAATGAAATATTGTATATATGATAGATATTTATTATATTTGCATTAATGCAAGATCCTTTATTTTTTCCTTTTTTGCAAGTCCAACTACAGAGCGGGGCACAATGGTTAGTTAATAAACTTCCAATTTCCAATTGATCTTATCACACATGACTCGATTCCTCCAACATAGGTATTGTAAAAAATCCACCTAAAATTAAAAATTAAACAGTAGGTATTGAAAAATCACAAAAAATTAAAATGGTAAAAACTTACAACATTTGGCTTTATTCTCTTCCTCTCCCAACATCTCAAGATCTTGATGAACCCTTTCGTCCTGTTCAAACTCTCTGTTATTATTTATCAAGCGAAGCCAAGAAAAACAAAGCGTCGTCTGCGTCCTCCGTCCTAGCCTCGTGCAGAGCTGGGCAGGGCTTGAGTGCTTTGTGCTTGCGAAAGTGCTTGAAGCACTTTGAGGACTTGAAAGCCCTGTGCTTCAAGCCCTTTTATAGATTTGTAATTGGGGCTTGCAAAGTCAATTACTTTAGAAAAGTACTTGGTAATTTGTAATTGAAAAAAGTAATTCAAGCCCTTTCAATGAGCTTCAATTACTTTTAGAGGGCTTGAAGCACTTTTGGGAGCTTGAAGCCCTTTGAAAGGGCTTGAAGCACTTTAAGGGGGCTTGAAGCACTTTTGGGAGCTTGAAGCACTTTGAAAGGGCTTGAAGCACTTTAAAAGGGCTTGAAGCACTTTAAAAGGGCTTGAAGCACTTTGAAAGGAATTTGAATTGACCTATCCTCCACTTAAAAATTTTCGATCGTGTTTTGTCCCTTAATTTTTTTTTCTATTATTTGAACTTGAACCGTCTGATGTCTTTGCTCTCTTAACAATGGAGGTTTTGGGTTTGAGCTTAGAATGGAATTAAAAAAAAAAAGGAATGAACTTATTATTCAAATAAATAATTAATTTATATTGGTACCCTATTTAACTTTATCACTGGATTTTTTTCACTTTTCCCCATTGAACATTTTGAAAACCTTAAAATTGAATTACCATGTAGTACCCCAAGTACCCCAGAACTACATCTCAAAAAAAAACATACTACTGCTACTCTGTGAAATGTAAAGTGCTTCTCTACTATACCAATTCTGTGTGATGAGTGTACGCGGTAGCTTATGCCACTTTGAGAATTTTGTTACAAATTCAAAGTGCTTTAGGCACATTTAAAGAGCTTCAAGCACATTTAAAGAGCTTGAAGCACATTTAAAGAGCTTGAAGCCCTTTTCAAGGCACCCCAAGCACTTTTGATGTGCTTCAAGCACTTTTCAAATCACTTTGAGGGCTTTGTGCTTGTCAAGCCCAAAGCACTTTGAGGGCTTTGTGCTTGTGAAGCACTTTTGAAAATAAAAAGGAATTTGTGCTTGAAATTGAAGCACTTTGATAGAGGGCTTAGGGCTTAGTGCTTCAAGCCCTTTTACTGAGGGCTTTGCCCAGCTCTGGCCTCGTGTCTGGTGGCGTGGCGTCAACAACAAATGGGTGGTGCGTCTGCGCCGTTCCGAATTCCCAAACAATTGTCCCGTCTTTGTCAGTCAAATATATTTTTGCATGACAGAGACAAAGACAGCATATTGCAAATAAAATCTATCTGCAAGTTTTATGCAATACTGAGAAAATTTATGTTTCCTATTCCAAAGTTTATGTTGAAATATTTAGGTAACGTTTTTTATTCTTAAAACTGTTAGGTAACGTAGGCATGTAAAGGTATCTGCAACGTTACAGCGACAGTTTTAAGAAAAGTTGAGCTTATAATATTTATGCAACCATTTATTTTACTATATTTTTTTAATGTTACAAACGTAAATATTTCCGCAACATTAAAGCGACAGAGTTGAGAAAAGTTACATTTTATAACATTGTTATAATATTTGCTTTACTTACATTTTATAATGTTTCGAATGTAATACATTATTGTATCTACTGCAACAATTACTTTATAACTAAAACGAATGTTTCTCTATTGAAGTTAAATCAAATTTATATCCTTCTACATTGGATAAGTAATATTTTAGAAAGCTTATCGTCACATTACCTAATAAATTTTCTAAAGCAAGGTCAATACAATATTGCCGACAAATTGTATGGACAATAACAACAATTATTACTTAAAACTGATATTAAATTGTTTACCTACTCCTACTAGTTTAAAAATATAAAGAACACCATAATATACCTAGATCTGAAATTGTTAATATGGCACTATAATATTGCCTCCAAACATTTTAATCAATTACTTGGATACTAATATTTTTTTGTTGAAATCCTGTAATAATCTGCAATTCCTATTATACCTAATGCTGTCATAAGTGTGAGACTAAAAATAACTATTTACTATCCATGGTTTTACAACTATAATTTCAACAACAGTAAATTATAGTGAACAAAAATTATGGCGTCTTTACTTATAAGTTAGGTATATTCATGAATAACAGTTTAAATTATCTATATTATGAATAACACTTTTTATACATTAGGTATTAACTTCACAGGATCACCTCACTCTATATCTCATTTTCCTTACATTGAAGATAGGTAGAGACTTCATTTTCTAATATAGATAATACTTAGAATCTTATAGGCTAGGTATATA